TTATGCATGCCAGTGTCTGCATGGCAGAGAGAGGACATGAAAAGCCACTGAGGAAGCTGCCACCTCCTCCCTGAGCTCTGCCCTGCGGGCCAGGTCATGGGCAGCCACTTTGGGAAGGCTGCATTTGCTGCCCATCAGCTGCTCTGTGTCTCACAGGAATTGAAATAGCCCAGGTTTGGGTTGGTGCTGAGCATAGGGCAGTGAGGAGAAAGGGAGAAGGCTGTGCTGCAGGGCAGGTGGATCCAGGCAGAGCCAATTTGGGGAACAGCCTTGTCTAACAGCATTTCATTTTCCAGTTCTACTACATTGCATTATATTTTGCACTTCTGCTAGAACTGCATGTCAACAGGTTTCAAATATCCTCCTCAGTCCCAACAGCCTGCTTGAAAGTGCTGTGTCTTTATCAGACCATTGATGGTCCTTCTGAAATGTGAGTCTCACTGGCTGCATCCAAACCTTGTGCTTGAAGAACATTCCTAATTAAAGCAGATTGGGCCTTTGGGGAAGAAGGGGCTGCAAAGCATTTCCTAAAGCATTTTCTACTCCAATTTCATTGTGAGGAAATACACCTGAAGGATGATGCAGGGATTAGGATTGAGACAAAGATGAGTTTGGTGGGCCAATTTTACTTTGAGAGCTTGAGAAGCACAGGAAGCCCAAGTGATGATCCCAGAGGGTTGAACACAGAGGTTTCACCCTCCCAGATATACAAGGGCCTTAACCTTAAAACCACTGCTCTCAGCAAGGAGCTGTCTCAACGCTGCATTAATGTTTTCTCCTCTTTGTGCATGTGTAGAATTGAAATCCCTCTTGGGGAGGAAGCTTATTCCAAGTAAATTCCTAAATAATCAGCTGAAAAAAAACCCTGAAATGTTCTTTCACTTGATTTGCTACTCCCTGCCAAATGCATGTGCATGCCAGGTCTTGAGCATGGTACTGGAGCTGAGCCTTGAAGGAGGAATTGTCCACACAAGGCTTCTCCTTCAGTTTTGGGATCCAGTGCTGATTGCAACCAGGTCTGGTGAGAGAAATGATCATAAATACACCACGTTTCTGAAAAAGCCCTAAAGGAATCCTAAACATTCCCAGAGAATTCCTAAAAATCTCCTGGAAAAAAAAAACCAAACAAACAAAAAAAAACCAAACAAACAAAAAAAATCCTTTAAAATCCCTGAAAAAAACTAAAAAAACCCTAAAAAACTGTTCAACCCCTACCTGTAACTCATCCTGACCCTAAAAATAGCCTCAGAATACCCTTAAAATACACTAAAAATACCCTAGCTATTAAAAAAAACCTGAATATCCTGAAAAATCCCCAAAGAACCTTTAAAAAGTTCCTAAAAATACCCTGAATAGTCTTAAAGGAGCTCTAAAAGTACCCCAAAAATCCTTAAAATGCCCTGATAAGATCCTAGAAAAACCTAAAAATTCCCCCCAAAACCCTAAAAATACTCTACTGGATCTGGGCTGGAATCCAGAATGGGGAATAACCGGGACTGGATTAGAGGCAGGATACGGAATGGAGCAAAATCCCAAAACCCAGACTGGATCGGGGTCAGGAAATGGAAGAGAGGAACACCTGGACAGGATTTGGATGTGATAGGAATGGAAGAAAACCCAGACCGGATCAGGGCAGAGAGCTGGAAAACCTGCACTGGATCATGGCTGGAAAATGGATTTTTGGAGAAAACCTGGACTGGATTAGAGCCGATAGATGGAATGGGTGAAAACCTGGATTGGATTGGGGTGGGATATAGTTGGGAGGAAAACCCGGACTGGATAATAGCCAGTATACAGAATGGGAGGAAACCTGGACTGGATCCAGCCAGGACATGGAATGGGGGAAATCCTGGACTGGATCAGGAATGGGAAATGGAATGAAAGGAAACACACTTGCCAACTTTTATCCCATTTAACACCCTGTACCGTCACCAGGGACATTGGGCTGCACAGGAGCTGTCAAGGACAGGGATCCAACCCACAGAGGGAAAAACTTTCTCTCTTTCTCAGAAAATGTTTTTCAATCTCCCTGATGCTGTCCCTTAGCAGGGGGTATAGCTCAGTGGTAGAGCATTTGACTGCAGATCAAGAGGTCCCTGGTTCAACTCCAGGTGCCCCCTCTTCTTTTTTCTTCCTTCCACCTGCCTTTTGCCAAAAATTTGCCACAGGAAAAATCCATGGAGAGCTCTGAGCTTGTGCTGTGCACTCCAAGTTGGTTCTGAGCTCCAGCATGTAAGGAAGGAGGCCCCGAGTGTTGGGAAAGTGCAGGGGTTGTTCTTTGTCTGAGTGACCACTCACTGTCTGTGTGAGCTTTGCCTGTCCTTAATTCTCTGTAGACATCAGATCTACCAGAATTTCTCATTTTTAACACCATTTATCACATTTAACTCCATGTACAGCCTTTGTTAGGTACATTAAGGTGCACAGGGGGGTGTCAAGGAAAGAAATCCAATTCATGGACAACAAAAGAGTTTTCTTTCCCAAGAAATGTTTTTCAGTCTCCCAGGTGCAGAGGTTATCTCAGGGGGTATAGCTCAGTGGTAGAGCATTTGACTGCAGATCAAGAGGTCCCTGGTTCAACTCCAGGTGCCCCCTCCTCTTTTGCTGCTTTTCCCTGGGGATTTTGGCAGTGTGGTCACTGGAATGGCAGCTCAGCATCTTCTCCTGCTCATTCTTTTCCCTGCTGCAGGCAGAGATGAAAGCTGGGGGAAAATGTCAGGGACTCCAAGGTTCAGAGCACTCAGGGGACAGACTGGAACTGGAAATAAACCACTCAGGACTCCACTTTCTTCATGATGGAAAATGCCCATTCTTTATTCACGTAACTAATAAAGTTATGTTTTTATAAATTTTGTACATTTTTATACAATTTTATACATTTAATACTGTTTTTATACAGTTTTACAGACCTCATGTGTGACTCTAATTGATCAGCAGCTCTCTTGCCAATTATTGGTTAGTATCAAATGATTATTCTGTATTGATTGGTCACTTAAACCCCCAGTGGGTACAGGCAGGAAAAGTTGTTTGTGAGACATAATTTTCTTTTTTCTAACAGTGTAAAAACAGTTTATGCAGGTGTAGGTTTTTTTTTCACCCAGGAATAGATTGTTATGGTAACCAACTGCTCACAGAGGATTGCTTTGACATGGGAACCTGCAAGGTGCAGGCTTTCTTTAGAAGAAATTACAACATAACAGAGCAGACCTGATTTTATGAGGCGTTTTTCTTTTAATTTTTCCACTTTTTTCCACTTCTTATAATTTTTGCACTTATAATTTTCATTATTTCTTATATTTTTTTCCCAGGAAGTGAAGGGAAAGAGCTAGGGAGGAACTGGACCAAGGACCCATGCTGGAGTGCAGTGACTCCATGGCTGCTGCTGCCCCACAGGTTCTGCAGCAAGAACCAAATCCTCAGGCACAGGAAACTCAGGGATGTGGGAAAAAACATCCTTGAAATGTTTTATAGGGGTGGGTAAAGAACAGGGGGTATAGCTCAGTGGTAGAGCATTTGACTGCAGATCAAGAGGTCCCTGGTTCAACTCCAGGTGCCCCCTCTTCTTTTTCCTCTTTCCACCTGCCTTTTGCCAAAAATTTGCCACAGGAAAAATCCATGGAGAGCTCTGAGTGTGTGGGGTGTTGGTTCTGAGCTCCAGCATCCAAGGAACAGAGGCTCAGCTGGGAAAGTTGTGGGGTTCTGCTCTAACCACTCACTGTCTGTGTGTGCTCTTCTCTGTCCTTAATCCTCTGTAATCACCAACAGAATTTCTCTTTTATCTTATTTATTAAATTATTTTATTTTATTTCTTAATTATTTAATTAATTTATTAAATTGTAAGTAAAATTTCATTTTTACTATCATTTATCACGTTTAACTCCATGTAGCTTTACCAGGCACTCCCTGGAGCTGTCAAGGAAAGAAATCCAATTCATGGACAACAAAAGAGTTTTCTTTCCCAAGAAATGTTTTTTAGTCTCCCAGGCACAGGTGGTTCCCTGGGGGTATAGCTCAGTGGTAGAGCATTTGACTGCAGATCAAGAGGTCCCTGGTTCAACTCCAGGTGCCCCCTCCTCTTTCTTACCTGCCTTTTGCCCAAACCTTTGCCAGAAAACACATGGAGAGCTCTAGCAGGAGCTGTGACCTGGCTCTGTGCACTCGGAATTGGTTCCAAGCTCCAGAATGCAATGCCAGAGTGTTGGGGGATGTGCAGGGACGTTCTGCCCTGTGTGAGGACCACTCCCTGCCTGTGTGAGCTTTTCTGTGTTTGAAATTCACTGCAGGCATCAGATTGGCCTGAATGTCTCATTTTTACCACCATTTATTACATTCAACTCCCTGTAGCTTTACCAGGCGCCCCCTGAGCTGCACAGGGAGCTGTCAAGGAAAGAAACCTAATCCCTGGAGAGCAAAAGAGTTTTCTTTCCCAAGAAATGTTTTTCAGTCTCCCAGGTGCAGAGGTTGTCTCAGGGGGTATAGCTCAGTGGTAGAGCATTTGACTGCAGATCAAGAGGTCCCTGGTTCAACTCCAGGTGCCCCCTCCTCTTTTGTTGCTTTTCCACCCATTTTCCTCCACAAATTCCTCATTCACATACCACCGACAGCTTTTCTTACCCCTCTGAAGTGCTGGAAATCACTTGGCGAGGTTTTGCCAAACGTGAACTTCCATTTTTTCCACTCTGTTCTCCTGAGTTCTGCAGGAGACACACAAACTCAACAGCTGCATCTCCCGTTTTTCCTGTAGGAGTAATTACCCTTAATTTACACAGCGAATGATGTGCGTAACGCGTTACTAGCAGTCACAGCCGCGCTGAGCTGTTTCCTCCAGGCTCTGAACTCCAGGCCAGGCCGGTTGGGTGGCTACGGTGCCACAGCTCACCGTCTAGGCAGCCTCGGGGCTCGAGCCTCTGACCCACAGCCCCACAGGCGGCGGCGCTGCCCCTGAGCCACGCCCCGGCCGCGGGAACGGGGGCGTGGCGGGGGGAGCGCCGCGAGGATGGCGCAGGGACAGCGCTCTGGGCCAGTAACCTTGGGGTTACCGGTTCAAACCTCGCCTCGCACCAGAAGGGTAAATGGCGATTCTGTCGCAGAAGACCACAAACTCCAAACTGGGAGATCACAGCTGTTATCCCGAGAGATTACTGCCGGTATCCTGGGGGATTATTTGCTCTATCTAGAGAGGTTCGCCAGCTCTGTCCCGGGAAATCGCCAGCTCTGACTCGCCCCGACACAGGAAATCCTTCCTTCCGCCCGACCACGGACTGGGAGATGCCAGGTTCTGACCCAGCCGGGCACCACCGGAGTTGACGGCACAGGCCGGGCTCTGCCCCGGGGCACGCTGTGCGTCATTGGACTCGGGGCCGGAACGCGTCGGCCCTGAAGATCCGAGCCAGACGCACTGCCCACCCGCTCCGCGCGTCGCTGTGACGGGCAGAGCCGGACAGTCTCGTCCCGTGGCTTTGAGTGCTTTTGAAATTACTCACTTCATCATTTCCAGGCGTTTCTTTGGTATTGCTGTAACCAGCCTCATTTGAAACAGGCTCGGATCTTGTCTGAATTCCCTGGCAGCGTCCAAGGCCAGGTGGACGGGACAACCTGGGACAGTGGCAGGTCTACCGTCCCTAACTATGGCAGGGGTGGAAATGGAGAGCTTTGGGGTCCCTTCCCACCCAAACCATTCGGGATTCCATGAACGGAATGAAAACACCCCCCAGGCTCGGCACCGAGGGGCATCTCCACCGCTTTTCTCTTCCTCCTCCTCCACCCGTGACGCACAGTGGAGGAAGAGGCGCAGAAACCCGAGCGGCGGCGCGCGGCGGTGACGCATTTCCTGTCCCGGTAGCGGCGGGGGACGCGTTCGGCCGGCGGGCGCGATGGGGGGGGGAGACCTGGTGAGGGGAACCGGGGGAGGGCTGAGGGCAATCAGGGAACCGGGGATGATCGGACGGAACCCGGGGGGGCAGAAGGGAAAAATGAGAGGAGACGAGGGGGGGGCTGAGAGGGGCCGGGGGAGGTGAGGGGGAATGAGGGAACCGGGGGGGTTCACAGGGGCCGGGGGAGCGTGAAGGGGGTCGAAGGGCTGACAGGGGGTGGGCGGTGAGAGGGCACTGAGGAGTCTGAGGGGGGCCGAGGGGGCTCAGAGGGTTCGGGTGGCCTGAGGGGAACTGAGGTGGGGAGGAGGGGTGAGAGCGGGCGGGCGGGCCTGAAGGGGGTTGGGGCGGTGACGGGAGGGAGAGGGCCTGGGAGGGCTGAGAGGAGCTGGGGAGGGGAGAGGGGTTTGGAGGGGAGCGTGGGGCTTCTGAGGGGGGGAGACTGAGAGGGGTCAGTGAGTGCTGAAGGGGCCGGGGCTGTGGCAGGGGTCAGAGTGGGTGGTTCGGAGGGGGGCTAAGGAGGGGCTGCAGGGCCGGGATGTGCGGCTCCCGGGGCCAGTGGGAGCCGCGGGTCCGTTCTCCGGGCCCAGCTGCCGGCATTGCTGGGCTGCCCTGGTCCCTCAGTGCTGGTCCTGGTACCAATCCCGGTGCCAATCCCCTCTCCTCAGAACCTGAAGAAGAGCTGGCACCCGCAGACGCTGCGCAATGTGGAGAAGGTGTGGAAGGCAGAGCAGAAGCATGAGGCCGAGAGGAGGAAGATTGAGGAGCTGCAGCGGGAGCTACAGGAGGAGCGGGCGCGGGAGGAGATGCAGCGCTACGCCGAGGACATGGGCACCGTGCGGTGAGGGCGCAGGGACATGGGCACAGGGACAGGGGCACCGTGCGGTGAGGGCGCAGGGACAGAGGCACTGTGTAGTGAGAGCATGGGGACACAGGCAGAGGGACATGGGCACCATGTGTCACAGCACAGGGACACGGGGACATGGCCACCATGTGGTGAGGGCACGGCAACACGGGCACCGTGCAGTGAGCAGGGACACGGGGACATTGGCACAGGGACATGGGCATGGGGACACGGGCACTGTGTGTGACAGCACAGGGAGGGACACGGGCACCGTGCAGTGAGCCAGGGGACAGCATAGGGACTGCATGGGGACAGTACAGGGACAGCATGGGGAGAGCACGAGGACAACGGAGAGGTTGGGGTGGAAGGGACAACAAAGCCCCTCCAGTGCCTCCCCTGCCATGGCAGGGACATATCCCAGTGTTCCAGTGCTCCAAGCCCCAGTGTCCAACCTGGCCTTGGGCACTGCCAGGAATCCAGGGGCAGCCACAGCTGCTCTGGGGTTTCTGTTCCATCCCCTCCCCTCCTTGCCAGGGAGGAATTCCTTCCCAAAATGTCATCCCACCCTGCCCTCTGTCAATTCAAATCCATTCCCCTGGTCCCAAATCCTTCTCCAGTTCTCCTGGAGCCCCAGTCAGGCACTGAACAACCCCAAAACTTTCCCAGGCTGAACAATCCCATCCCTCTGATCCCATCCTTGGGGCCATGTCCCACAGTCCAACCCCAAACCATCCCTGCTCACCTTCCAGCCAAGCCCTGGAGGCAGCAGGAGGAATAAAGGGTTTTTTGGCACAGGAAGCGTGAGGAGAAGCTGGAGTGGATGTACCAGGGCCCCGGGGGGATGGTGAACAGGGACGAGTACCTGCTGGGGCGCCCCGTGGACAAGTTCATCCTGGACAAGGTTGGGGACAAGGACAGCGCTGGGGACACGGGGCTGCTGCCCGGCTCCATCTTCGCCAGGGCCGGGGCCAGCTCCGTGCTGGACATGGCCACCAAGATCCGTGAGGACCCGCTCTTCATGATCAGGTGTGCAGAGACAAGGGCACTCAAAAACTACAAATTAGCCTGTATCAAAAGCACTTAAATTGATTATAAGTATTATATTATCCTGTATATATATATATGTCCTATAAATATATATACTATCCTGTATCAAAAACAGTTTAACTGATTAGAAATATCATCTCTTGTATATATATATCCTTTAGTATATATATATATGCTATAAATGTTCTAATATATGTATCTCCTATATATCCTATAAATAGATATATTATCCTATATCAAAAGCAGTTCAATTGATTATAAGTATATTATCCTATAAATATATATTCCATATATCAAAAGCAGTTTGATTGATTATAAGAAAAGGGGGAACTTCTCTTCAATTTTGCTAAATACACAGCATTTCTCTTTGTTCCTGCTTTCTCTGTTTTTAGAGCTTGCACTTGCTGGATCCTTTTTGTGCAAATATGATTGAAAAAACTGATTTTCTTTTTCCTGCTTTAGGAAGAGGGAGGAGGAAAAGAAAAGAGAAGTTTTAAACAATCCGGTGAAAATGAAGAAAATCAAAGCCTTGGTAGGTGTGAGGCAGGGGAGGTGCAAAAATTAGAATTTTTATTGTCCAGGACAAGGAGCCGAGCTCTGTTTGCTCCTTACACTGCTCAATTCTGAGAGAAAATCTCGTTTAACAAGATTTATATGCTTATAAATTTAAATTTACATATCCATACATTTAGATTTATGTATCCGTACATTGCAATTTATAAATGGCTATAAAGATGAGTTTCCCCTTTTCTTATAATCAAAAATTCCCATTTATAAATCTCATTAAATGAGATTTTCTGGCTTGAAATTTATAAATGGCCGTAAATTTTTGTAAGTATCTCTACATTTTCGTAAAGGTATTTCTCTTGTGAACACTGCAAAGACATTTTTACACCTTTAAATAGAAAAATCATGCAAATGTCTTTAAATTAAAAAATAATTTTTAGAGATTTGTTTGGCTTCAGGTTTTGTGCTTTTCCACGTGGAATTCTGGTGTTTTCCGTGTGGTCCTGAGGGAGTTTTTGGTTTTGCAGCTGCAGAACAGTTTGGATAAAAAGGAGAGGAAGAGGAAGAAGGAGAAGAAGAAAAAGCACAAGAAGCACCGGCGGCGCAGCTCCAGCAGCTCCAGCTCCAGCTCTGAGGAGGAGAGGCCCAGAATTAAGTGAGTTTTACTTTTTTTTTTTTTTTTTCCTAAAACTGTCTCCATTCCTGCTTGTTTGTCACCTGCTCTCAGATTTTTCTTTCTAATTAATGCTTTTAATTAAGTGTTTCATTAAATTGTTGTTTCATTGGTTTTGCATCATTAACGTGTGGTAAAAATTGATTTATTCTTGCCATTTGCTTGCTTCAAAAGGGCTTTATTTTCTTTCTAGGTCTCAGAAGAGGGTGGATAATTCCGTCTGGAAGGCTGCTCCTTCCAAAATCCCGGGATATGGCTTACAGGTACACCCTGGGAGGGGGGAGAACCAGGAGTTTTGAGAATAGCTGCAGCAGCTGGAACAGGAATGAATAAATTTTAAATTCAATTTGGGGCCATCTAAGCCTTGAAATTCAAATTATTCCAGCTCAGCCAGACTTTTGCTTGGAATTTGGGATAAGGAATTCAGGATAAGGTTGTTCAGATGCTCCTCATTATCCATGGAATGGGTGGGAAGGGACATCAAAACCCATCCTGTCCCATGGGTTCCCACTGTCCCAGGCTGCTCCAGCCTGTCCCGGACCACTTCCAGGCATCCAGGAGCAGCCACAGCTCGTCTGGGAATCCCTCCCCAGGGAGGAATTCCCTCCCTCAGCTGTGCCAGCCCCAAGCTTCACCCCCTGTGCCCTGTGTGGGGGCTGCTCCCACCCCTGTGTTCCCTCTGGATTCCAGGTGAGGGACCCCGAGGCGGGGCTGCGCTCCCGGGGCTCCCCGGGCCAGGACAGGGCCCCCCGGGAGCGCTCCCGGAGCCCGTCCCGCTCTCCCCAGAGACATTCCAGCAGGAGGAACCCCCAGAGGAGCTCAGCGTCCCCCTCCAGGCGCAGCAAACAGTGAGTGGGTGAAAGCATGGGAGTTCCCTGCAATCCTGTGGGGTCTCTGCTTCCTTTTTCTGTCTCTGTCGGAGTCGGGATTGAAGGCACTTGAGACAATGGTTCACGTTCAGACTCAGGGGTTTATTGTTTATTATCAATGTTACAGTCTCACAGCAGGGAGTTCTGCAGTCTCTCATTAACCAGGCACAAAATGGCCAACTATCTCTTGTTACAAGGTCTTTTAAGGCCAAACTATCCAATTAAGAAATTAGACCTAGATTATTTTCACTTCTAACCCAATAACTGGTCACTCGAAGCCCGCAGTGTGGACTTTTCTGTCCAATTACAAAATACCACCCAAATCCATGAAGAAGGAAGAAAGAAGAAGGTGAAGAACAACCTGCTTCTGCCCTAAAACAACCATCTTGCTTCATATTTCTTAATATATTCTAAAACCCCAGACTCTTAATTTTTCACCCTGTGATGTTACACACGTCTAACCAACTCCACACCCATAATGCCAGTGCTATCTATCAGTTTTAGAAGCCTTCACAGCCTCAGGTCAAATGCAGTGCTCTCTTGGGAGTCAGAGTCTGTCAGTTTAGGATTGTTCCTGGAGTGGCCAGGTAACAGCCCTGCAGCTGTGGGAGCCACCTCAGCCTCAGGATGTGTTAAAACCCCCAGGAATGTTTATAAATGTTTATAAATGTTTATAAATGTGATTAAGATCTAATCAAATGTGGATTTTGGTGTTAATGAGGGTGATTCTGGGGTTGCAGGCACAGCAGCCGTGAGGAGAAGGGCAGAGCCAGGAGCCCTTCCCCCAAAAAGAGCTTCCGGCGCCAGCACCCCCCGGGCTACACCAGGTCAGTGGCACCCTGTCCTGTCCCCTGTCCCTGTGCTGGGGGACAGACCCCTGGGAGGCACCTGGGCACCAGATTTTCCTCTGGTGGCTGGAGTGGGACAGGTGAAATGCCCAGAAAATCACACACAGGTGCTGCTGGCTGGTGGGTGGCACCTTCCCACAGCAATGCTCGTGGTGCTGCTTCTCTAGCAGGGCAGAAATGGGAATTGGTTAATTGGTGGAGTCACCATCCCTGGGTGTGTTTAACAAAGCCTAGATGTGCCAGGGTTTACTGAGATGTTGGCCGTGGGTTGGACTCAATGATCTCGAAGGTCTCTTCCAACCCAGTGTTTCTGTGAATTCTGTAATTAGGAGGTTCTGTTCCATCAGGCGAAAAAAGGATCCTGACAGCATCATCTTGGAATTAAAACCAATTAGGAGATCAATTAAATCCAAGAGGGATTAAAATTAAATTAAAGAGGGAGATTAAATTCAAGAGGGAGAAAAGAGCCTCCTGCTGGGATGTGGGGAGGTGGAATATTTTAAAAAGGAGGGAAATTTTAAAAACGTCCTCACAAGCTTGGCTGCCAAAGACAAACCTGTGTTAAATCCCCCTCATCTGGGGAATGTGAACCAGCTTTGGTTGATCTGAGCCTTTTCCAACCTGAACAATTCCACTGTCCCAAAGTGAGGAAGATGAGGGGCCTGGCATGCTGCTGGTTCACAGAAAAATGTCTCCAGAAGTGTTTTTCTGTATAGATTATGTCCTATAACCTTTGACCTCTCTTATAGCTACTGTCAATTACTTTTATTTTGATATTTGCATCAAAATAAATCCTGTTCTCATTAGGATATTCAAGGGTGGTGGAAATTCTCTATGTGATGGTTCTGTTCCCTCTCAGAGTCTAACTAAACAATCCCTGATTTTCCTTTTTTAATTAATCTCACTCCTGCAGGTGCCTTTCTTCAATTTATAGCTTGGCAGAATTTTGTCTCCGCCAAACTCTGGTCGTTGTGAAAATGGTTTTATGAAGTGTGTCTCTCTTTCATGGAATGTGTCTCTCTCTCTCCAAACAGAAAGATCTCTCCCGAGGAGCTGGAGCGAAAACGTCAGGAAATGATGGAAAATGCCAAGTGGAGGGAAGAGGAGAGAGCCAACAACCTCAGGAAGCACCGCAAGGAGGAGGAGCTGGAGAAGGAGCTGGAGAAACTCGACTCCAGGGATGGGAAATTCTTCCAGTGAGTCTTTTACCCCCTCCTCATCCAAGGGGAATTCAGCTTCTGAGGGATGGCCCTCGGTGTTCAGATCATGGGATTGCATATCTCCCCTGTGGCTGACAGAGCTGCTGTTCCCGAATTTTCCCCTCAGCCCAAAAAGTGCTCTTGCAAGAGAGCCAAAAAATGGCTCTTGCTGACTGGGAGTCAGACCCAAGCTGGGCATTGCTGATGTTCTGCCACTCTGGGAGTTTTTTATATGCAGATAATAATTCAGAAATAATTTTATAAATTCTATATTATATTAATTTTAATATATTTATTATTATATTTATAAATTATTAAGAATAATGTAGAAATTGTCTGCTCTCCTTCAGACAGGGTTGTGATTTCTGTCTCTGCTCCTGTTCCCTGCAGCCGTTTGAAGCTGGAGAGTGCCTCCACCTCCAGCCTGGAGGATCGGGTCAAGCGCAACATCCACTCCCTGCAGAGGACTCCTGCTGCCCTGGAAAAGAACTTTATGCAGAGGTGAAGCCTGTCCTGGCCCTACCCTGGGCAGGAGCTCAGTGGATGTTTGTTCCCAGAGGTGAGAGCTCTCCAGGAACAATTCCAGCTCCCTCAGAGGATCCCGGAGCTGAGCCCTTGGAGCCCTCTGCATTTGGGGCCTTTGTGTTCCATTTCTAACCCATTGCTAGAGCTTCTCCTCCTCTCCCCATCCGGACTGGTGTCATTTTTGTACATTATTACCAAGCTCTGCTTCCTCCTGTGCCAGAGCTGAAGATCTACTTTTGTTAATCCTTAAAATCCAGAACAGAACCGATGCACGTGTGAGGTAATCCCATGGAATTTGACAGAACTACACCAACCCTGTTCCACACTGTCACCCTTTGCACCCACACCTCACAGTGGGGTGTCTGTGGCTGGCATTTGGTGGCTCACAGATTTATTTCATTGATCTCTGACCAAAATAAGCAGTTTCTGAGGGGGAAAAGGGGAATGAGCAGAGCGTAGCTGACACAGCAAACATTTCTCTGGGATTTTGTAATGTAAGTAATGTCTATATGTACAGCAGTGTAGATTTATTTTACCTTTTTAATTAAGAAACTTCACTGTCGTTTGTTAAATGTCCTTTGTGGTCTGGGGGGGATGGGAGGGGCAGGGCTGGATCGGCTGTGGGAGGGAAGGGTCGGTGAGAGTTCGGGAGGCCGCAGCAGCCCCTTCCCGGGTGTGTCCAGCCCGCAGGCCGCACCCCGGGGCCGGGGGTGTCCCCGTTGTCTCCCCGAAGGTCCCGGCGGGGTCCCCAAGCGGCCGCGGGCCCTTTAAACGCAGGCGCGTGACGTGTGTAACAGCCCATTCATAATTCCAGCCGCCTCGCTGCTGATTGGTCCGTTCCCAGAGGGGCGTGGCCCTGACCGGCGCGTCACGCCGACTGGGCGAGACCATCTCCGGGAGCAGGAGGAGGGAATAGGGCTTTTTCCCCTCTGTCTCCTTCTCCTTCCGTTATCCCTCTCCGTTGTTCCCTCTCACAGCCCAGTGCGTGCCGCGGCTCTCCCCGCTCCTGCCGGAGCCCGAGCCGCGGCTCTCTCGCCGCCAGCGCCCGCCGTTCCCCCGGCTCGGGCGGGACATGGCACCTCCCTCTCCCCACCCCCTCAGCCCGCCGCCATCTTGGCGCCTCCTAGGCGCGGGGCCGGAGCGGGCTCGGCCGGCCACGGCGGAGCGAACCACCGCGGGGGCGGGCGGGGGGGGGAGGCAAGGACTGAACCACCGTGGCAGAGGCGGGGGGGGGTCGGGGGCAGAGCCGGCGAGGGGAAAGCTTAACGGGCCGGGGCTGACGGGGCCGGGCGGTACCACTGCGGGAGGGGGGGCGAGCCGGGCCGGGCGGAACCATGCGGAGGCGCTGGTAGGGGGGACGCGGGGAGGGGGTCGGTCGGGTCCGCCATGGCCGCGAACTGCGCGGGGGCCGCGGGGACGGCGGCGGGAGCCGTGGCCGCCGTGGGCTCGGCCCTGAGCGCCAGCAAGACCAAGACCAAGAAGAAACACTTCGTGTGCCAGAAGGTGAAGCTGTTCCGGGCTTCGGAGCCGCTGCTCAGCGTCCTCATGTGGGGGGCGAACCACACGGTGAGAGCGGGCGGCGCGGCCCCCCCAGCCCACCCCAAACCCCCGCCCCTCAGAGCACCCCGGGAGCGGGGCCTCGTCTCCTCAGCCCCCTCATCCCGCTCAGCAATGCCCGACTCCCTCACATCCGACCCTTCTCCGCTCCCCCTCAGGCTGGGCCTTTTCCTTCCCCTCCAGAGCAGCTTTTTTCCCTCATCCCCTCTGAATCCCAGCCTTCCTTCCCTTTGCATCCCAGCCCTGATCCAGCCCTCCCTGGGCTCTGTGGTCCCTTTTTGCTAGCTCTGTGTCCCGAGGTGGTTTGGGGATCCCCAGGTCGGGGTGTCCCTGCCAGGCACGTCCCTGTGTCCCCACCCCGACACCTTTTCCACACCCATTTTCCCGGACTGGGCAGGGGGACTGATACCTTATTGGCTGATGTTGCTGTGGCACAATCTCCCCTCTGGCACTGGGGGGGACACGAATTTGGCACCCACAGCCCTGTCCCCTGTGCCAACCCCCGGGTGTCCACCAGGACTGTCCCAGTGAGGGATTCCCCTGTGTCACAGCCCAGAGGACATTGGACAATGTGTCTCCAATCTGCATCCCCCAAAATGAGGGGTTTCGCCCGGGTTTGTCCCCTTTCATTGCAGGACTCGGGCCATGCGTGTCCTCTTGGCCTCAATTCCTCTGGGACCGAGTTGTGAGAGGGTCCCTTGGGAATGTCTGTGATGGCTCAGCTCTGATCCACCTCCTTTGGGAATTCCTAAGACCATCCCTGTGTTTTCTCTGGAAACTTCTCCCAGGTTTATGATTGCAGGCACGAGGATTGATCCTTGGATGTGGCTGCTGGGTGCTGTTCTTGGCCAAAGAAGCCAAGCCTCATCCCTTCCTCAATTAATCCACTTTTAGGGCTCAGACACACCTATTTCTCCAGTGGATTAGTGAATGTTTCCTAGAGAGTGTAAAGGAATCAGGCTCATTTTTTTCCCAAAACAAATAACACATCAAGAATTTAAAAAAATAAATTCCTCCTGGCCTGCCTGGCTGGAGCGAAAGCTTCCAAATGTGGTTCAGCATCGTGCTGGTTTTGAGGCAAAGGATGTTCCGAGTGCTCCCAGCCTTGCCCAGGAAGCAGGTTAATGATTTTAATCGGCCTTTGATCAGTGGTGCCATTAGCAGCCCTGAAGAAATGGAAATTGTTGATTTTTCCGAGTTTCATTTGTGGCCTCATAGTGACAGTTTACTTGCTGGCAGCTGGCTTTTTTTTGGGGGGGGGAGTTGTGTTTTTCTTCGTTGTAGCTGTCTGGGCAGTAGGAGCCTGGCAGGAATTTGAGGCCCTGGATGAGGACAGAGTAACTTTGGGAGCACTTGGCTGTGAGATATTTGGGCAAAGGGAGGAAGGCAAGCTGACACTAAGCTGGTAATGAGATTATATCGGATGTGTATTAGGAAGAAATTGCTGCCAGGAAGGAGCTGAGGGGCTGGGAAAGGGGGTGAGAAAAGTTCAGCTGTGACCTCCTGACCTTTGGGGAGGCATTTAGGATTTCCCAGTAAATCCCTCCACCTCTCTGCCACATTGGGGTGAGGGTTTGGTGGCAGCTGTGGATAGGAGATGATTCCAGTGCCTTGCTTAGGTGGGAATTGGAATTAGGTGCCTCCAGCTAAGCGGTTTGGAATACCTTTTCAGGAATACCTTTAGGCTTTGTTGGAAATCCTTTAATTTGTTTAATATTTGGCTGCTTTGGACAAGGAGGGGTGGGTGAGTGAGGAGGCTCTGGGCTGTGTCCATGGAGTTCTGCCCTGGGATCCTTGCAGTGGGAGGAGTGGAAAACAGCTCTCAGCACAAGCCCGGGGCTGTGCCAGGAGGATCCTGTCAGAATTGTTTGGGTATGGGGTGAACTTTTTCACAGAGAAATCAAACGACCATTTTGTGCAGTGTGCTGCAGAAATCCCCATGGGCCCTTCTCCCAGTCTGGAACAGCCTTAAAGAGGCTGCTGAGCACAGGCAGTGCTGGCTCTGGAGAGCATCAGGAGTACCCCAAGAGCAGGAGCTGCCTTCAGGAACACCACTGTGGAGCGTTTCAGTAACGGGTCCTGGTGGTCCCAGCCAGGGGTAGGATTGGGATTGGGGTGGGGCTGCTGTGAGCAGGGCCAGACAGGGGTGGTATGACTCAAACAATTTGAATTTTGGACCAGAAAACCATGGAGGGGAGGGGAGAACTTGTGTAAAAGTGGAGCCACCATGGCTCAGCATCGATTTCTGAGTTTTCTGTCAGACCCTTAATCCAGCAGATGTGGGGATGGTTCCTGGGGAAGCTTCTCCTGCCGTTGTCATGGCACTGCGAGAGGAGCTGCAGCTCCTGAGGGTAGGGTCTCTGTGTGGTGCTCCAGGTGTGTTTTCCATGCCCCGGATGGATCCACGTGCACAGGATGGGAAAGTTGGGACGGTTCTGGAAGGGAGCAGTCACCTCCCAGCCAGAGAGATGAACAGAGTGTTGTGTAATGCTCTGGGAACCATGGAAATGGTTGTAAGGTGCTGCTGATGGAAGGCTCTGGGATCCCAGGGAGGTGATTTGGATCTGTGTCTGTAGGGCTGCCAGTTCCTCGGCTGGAAAAGATTCCAGTGGCTCTGGCAGCTGGCAGGGGAAAGGCACAAACATCCCGTTCTTGTGGGAACGGGGAGATCTGTTGGCTGCATGGATCTTGCTCGAGGCAGCTCCAGAGGCTCCAGTTCCTGGCTGGAGCGGCAGCCATCTCCCAGGCCCTCAGGAGCACTGCCAGCAGGAGCAGAGCTCGTTAGTATTCCAGGGAAACAGCAGTGCTGGGAATGGAGCACGGCGCTCCCTGCTCTGCAGCCTTGCCTTCCGTGCTGCCAGAGCAGCATCTGCCACATATCAAACACTCAGATCCCAGAAATTGCTCCTGGCACAGTGGGAACAGCCTGGATCTGTCCCTTCCCAGCCCAGCTCTAATTGACCTCTGGAGAGAGCAGCATATGGCCAGGGCTGTGCCAGCCCCTGGAATGACTGAGGGCCTTGCTGCCAACTGCTCATCCAGGAGCCCTTTCCTGTTCCAATCCCCATTGCAGGAGCCCTTTTCCTTTTTGGGGGACAAAGGAGGGTTTTCCTGGGTGGTTCAGTGAGGAGAACAGGGCTCATTTCCCTGCTCATTTCTGCTGACTGCCATGACCATGGGTTGGTTGTTGAATTTTCCCATTTCTCAGCTTTTTTGGACCAAGGGATGCATCAGCTCTGCCCACCTGTGAGAGGACTGGGAGCATGGATGCTTCCCAGTGACCCTGAGGCTGACAGGACTGGGGACAGGAGAGTGGCACTGCCTGATCCCTGTCATGCAGCCAGGAATCCTCTCCAGCAGCTTTCCAAGTACTTTTTTCAGGAATACATGGGTTTGCTCTCACCAGGGGATGCTTTTTTTTTTCCCATCTTAAAGCATCCTGGTGTCCCCAGAGGAATTATTGACTGCAAGATTCGCTCTTCCCTCACTTTGCACAGGGGGTTGTTAGCATGGATACTGATTAATCATGCTCTAATTCATGGAAGACAGGGTTTTTCCCTCAAACCCTCACCCAGTTGCTGCTCTGTGCTAAGCAGCAGTGAAGTTTTGCCACAGCTGTGGGTTTGTCTCCATGCTAAAGTGATTTTCCCATGTGTCTTTCACCTCCTTCCCCAGTGCATAATAAAGTTTAACTAATACTTACCGAGATGCCTGATTGGAAAGCTTTGAGGGGAACAAAGTATCTTTATTTTCCTGAGCAAATTCCTGTTGCTGAGAATCCCTGAGAGTGGGCTCACACACTCCATCAGCTGCATCTTGTTAGTAAACAAATTGCATTTTCCCATCAATTTACTAATGCTAATTGCCACTTTGAGGCTACAGTCAGGTTTTGAAACAAAATTATGCCTGGCCCGTTCATCCCAACAGCTGTCCCTGAATGACACAGAATATTGATGTGGCTTTTATTGGGAAAGGAATTGGCTTTGGTGGCGAAGAGAAATCTTCAGCCTAGAGTCCTGAGTGGTGCTGCTGGGCCACAAAGTGAAGTGGGTTTAAGAGCAGATCAGGGCTAAAAAACCTTAAGGGAACCCAGCATTGCTCTGGGTGTGGCTGCAAATCCCTGACCCATTCTGTCCACACTTTGGGGACCTCTGATGTGGTAGAGGTGTGGCACAGCCTGCTGCTCCTGTGCCTTGCAGTGTCTGTGATGCCCAAAACAGCCCGTCAGGGTCCAGATGTGTTTGTGGTGCTGCTGCACCTCTGCCCTCTGTCCCTGCCTCCTCCAGAACCACACCCAGCATCTCCCTGGTACCCACAGCCCCAGAGATCTTGCCCCAGGCAGAGTTCCTCCTCTTTTTGGGCACAGATCCCTGGGAATGCGCTCCCCAGGAGCTGAGCACCTCCCTGCCGTGCACCTTGCTGTGACCTTGCCTCCTGGAGCATAAATACCCCGGGACACACACTCACACACACTGCTATATTTAATTTGCTGCTCCACGCCTCTCCCCGGGGAGAAGGCGAGAGAGCAAACATGTGCCAGGCGTTTGTCACGTTGCTCCTTCCAGGAGGCTGCTCAGATTCCCCCAGGATGAGCCTGAGGCGAGGATCCCTCTGGAGAGGTGATAGGTGCTGCTGGTGAGGCTTTCCTTTGGGAAGGACTCCTGGTGTTTCAGGATTTGGCTGGATAATCATTGGGAAGGGGGCTGGATGCCGAGGCTTGTGCTGTGAGAAGGGAGGGGTTGGGATATCCCTTTCCCGAGGTGTGTGGGGGGCTTTTTGGTCCTGTCCCTTGGGAAAGTGTCAGGCATGGGTGTTGCTGCAGGAGCACACGGTGCTGAAACAACAAAAAATTTAAATTTAAATAACCTGACGTAGCAACAAAACTAAACTAAATAAATCTGTGTTTTCTTCCAGACTGGTGAGAGGAGCAGAGGCCCAGTGACCACTGGCCCAGAGCTAACTTGGGGGAGGGTAGGTGGGCAGTGCTGGGTCTAAAAATGACCAGTCCAGCCCTTCATCCACATCTTGGGGCCCAGCACAACCCCATTCCTTCTCCTTGTCTCCTCCAGAGCTTGAATCCCAAATTCAGCCCTTCATCAACATCCTGGTGCCCAGCACACCCCCCTTCCTTTTCCCTGTCTCCTCCAAAGCCGGATCCCAAAGCATCCAGCCAGCTCTGCTGGAAGGGGGGAAAGGCTTCCACGAGAGGATTTTTTTGGCTCTTTTATCTTGTGAGGAGTGATGGCACCGCTGAAACGATCCAGAGCTATCCTGGTGCACCATTTCTGCCACTCAGGAGCCTCGCAACAGGTCCCACACTCGCTTTGAGGTTTGTGCCGTGGCAGAAACGAGGGCACCCAGCGAGGCCTCAGAACATTTGTGTCTGAATTGCTGCCAGCGAGGAGGCAGCCTCCGAATCGCTGTTCCCTCTCAGCCGTCAGCACCCTTCCTCCGCTCGGCAAGGAGCTGATAATGGCTTGTTTGTGCCTTCCCCACGGCGGGAAGAGGGCTGGGAGCAGGCTGGGATGGGAGCAGGCGTGTGGCAGGAGCTGTCAGGCTTCCCCTCCTGGCAGACAGCAATAATTAGTGGCTGGAGGCAGCGCCTCTGTCTCGTTGCAGAATGAGTTGTTTTCTCCTCTCTCCGAGGGGAAATCTCTGCGTGGGACTCTGATGCAGCTCCCTGCAGTGGCTGCGAGCTGGGAGATCCCTTCCTCACCTGGAGTCTGATCCCTTTTCCCTGCCCTCTGGCTCAGGGGTTGGCTCCGTGCGGGATGGAGCCAAACCCGGGGGGGCATCGGCCTCTCCTTGCTCGGGGATGCTGCTGGTGGGGAATGTGTGCCATTATATATTCATTCATTCATTCATTCATCTGTGCAGCGTTTTCCATACATCCCACAGGGTTTGTGGCAGCGCTGTGATGCCTTGGGCTGGATACCTAGAACAGAGGCTAGACAGAGTTGGAGAATAAAGTAGGTATTTATTAAAGGCTTTAACAGATACACCTTGGGCAGTGCAGAGGCTACACCTGAGATGAATGACAGTCACGAGTTTTCCGGGATATCAGGGGTTAATTGTCCAATTACAGCTTCAGGTAATGAAGTCACAGTCCCCCAGTTTGCTCTCCCCCGTTAATTTTTGCTCATACTTTTCAGGCGTGAGGCTGTGATGGTGACTTTGGTTCTCAGGCCTGGAAGGATTGTTTTGTCTGATCAAACTGTGATGAGAGCTTACAAACACTCTGTATGGAGTTCAGAGTTATACCCTAATCCAGCATAGGATCTGAAAAATACAAAAGCTAAAGCTTAAGTCATCAGCTGGGTGCTACAGAGCAGGGCTTTGCAGAGCAGGGCTTTGCAGAGCTGCAGCTCCGCTCCCTCCAGGAGCCGCAGCCGCTTCGCTTCCCGCTTCTGTCTGTTGTGTGGGATGGCTGGCTCTGAAAATAGCCACCTTCCCTCCTGGCACTGGGATGTGTCTTTCTTCCCAGTCTGACGTGTGTTAAATCTGGTCTGGATTTTTGTGGTAACGATGGAGAAAGGGTGGGATAAACATGGGCTGCATGGAATTGGCTCATGACACATCCCCGGGGCTGAACCCTGGGGAGCCCAGCAGGGATGCGGGCAGTGCTGTGTGTCCTGCTGCACGCAGGGAACGGGGAATCCCAGAGCTAGATCCCTTTCCTGAGCCTCGCCCTTGCTCCCAGCCAGCAGGGAAGTTTTCCAGCAGCTTTCCCAGTGTGCTTGGAGTCACTTGACCTGCTGGAGGCTTTGGTGCTGGGAACAGCCCCCAGAGCTGACTTGGAGCCAACCCCCGCTAGTGCCAGCGTTGTCTGCCTCCCTGTCCTGCACTACTTGCTTGGCACAGCAGTCATGGGAACGGAGCTGGAATGGAATTGCTTCCTGAATCCAGGCTGTTAACAGGAGTTCAGTGAGATGGGGCTGGTGGGGAGTACCTGGGGGGGATGGCACTAGGGCTGTCCTCAGAAAAGGCAGCTCAGAAACTTATTGATTCTGGCATAGTCTTGGCAGTGACTGGAGCAGGGCAGCCAGACACAGTTCAGAGGTGGATCTTTATTATTATTATGTTGTTATTATTATTAATGCTGGCACTACTGGGTGCTGCAGCATGAGCCCGCCTGTACAATAGTAGCTGAACATTCATTCTTCTGCTTCCCCGTGTTCCCGTGGCTGTCACACATGACTAAGGAGCAAAAACAATCTAGTGAGTGACTCATCCCTCCAGAGAAGGTGGGATGGGAGCAACAGGAGACAGCCAGCATGGAAACAGCATCCACAGGGAGCTGTGCTGGGCTGCAGCAAAGGCTTTGGTCATCCTGGTTTGTAGCAGGAATAATTAACATTGGAACATTTTCTCAGTGAGGTGGTTAAGTTAAAACATAAAATCTGCTGGTTCTTGGCCTGTGGGTTTGTCTGGGTTCTCAGCTGCGTCTTGAATGGTCAGTGGAGGGGGAAAGGTTGTCTCAGGAGGATTGACCACATTGTGGAACGAGGTGCTTCTGTGGCCTGTCACCACAGTGTTCCCCAGCTGCTTCTGTCTGATGGGTCATGGTGCCCCAAACCCATCCCCTGAGGTGTTGGACATCCCTGCAGGTCCCCAGGGCAGTGGGACCTGGGTTTGAGTCTCCCTTTCCTCTCTCTTGCAGATCAATGAGCTCAGCAATGTTCCCGTCCCCGTCATGTTAATGCCCGATGACTTTAAAGCCTACAGTAAGATTAAGGTGGACAATCATCTATTCAACAAGTAAGTAGGAGCTTCCCAACCTCTCTGTGGTCAGGGCTCTGTGCTGTGAGGCAAACTGGCCTGGGGGAGGTCTTCTGGGTTGTTCCCAGCTGTACTGCCAGGAGGGTCCATGCCCTGTGCCCAGCACAGACCCTGGACAGGTCATGGTGTGGTCAGTCTGTCACTGAGATACTCTGTGGTGGTTGGTTTCCATCCTTTGAGGGATTAAACTGTTCACAGGAGGCAGCTCTGCAGCTGTGCTGTGCTCATGGAGTCTCTCTGGAGTTGTCCCTGTCTCCTTTTCCCAAAAAATCCACTTTTGGAAGCTGTTTTGAAGTCATGGTTATGGCTGGTGCTCAGAGCTGTGTTCTCCATCCCGGCTCTGCAGGGCTGCAGTGCTCCCTGATTAATCCTTTGTTTTCCCCAAGCTTCACAGGGATCAGCTTTGCAGAGTGGGAGGTGATTGGGAAGTTTGTCTCTCCTGGCACGTCCACCATGCAGGATCTGCTCTCCCCCTTCTCCTCCAGAGAAGATCTGAGCTCCCCACCTGTCACTGCCTGGATTTCTCATTGAGAAGGAGCTGCCAAATTCTCCCACTGTGTCCAAGCAGGACCAACCTCTGCTTCTCTCCCTGGGCAGGTTCAGGGCTGTGGGAAGAGCAGATGCAGCTCCCTCAGTGACAGGGAATGCTGTCATTGTCCCCTGTCCTGTGCCTGGGGGCAGCAGAGCCAGGCTGGAGCTGATCCCCCCTCTCCTGGGTGCTGTGGCTGAGCTGGTCTGTGGGGCCTTGACCCTTCTGGTGCTGTGATGGGAGCTGAAGCCAGAGCCCAGCCCTCTGCTCCTGCAGCTCTGCCTGGTGTGCAGGGACAGTGTGTGCGGTGACAGTGGTGACAGCGTGTGCAGGGACAGCTGTGTGGCTGCATGTGGGGGGACAGTTGTGTGCCAGTGTGCCAAAGCCACCGAGGAGGGCACAAGCAGGATGGCTCCCTCAGAGTGGCCTGTGGCAGGGTTGCCCTGGCAGCCACACAAGCTCCACGCTCCCATCCCATCCCTGTTAGCCAGGATCCTGCAGAGTTCCCTGGGAGAGATGGGTTTTGTGGGCATCCCAAGCAAGGAGCTGCCCTGCCAAGGGCACAGCAGGGCTGGAGTGTCCTGGGAGGCTGGCAGGGAGGGGGAGCCAGCGTGGCATTGGGTGGCACTGCTGACATCTCTGCCCTGCCCTAGGGAGAACCTGCCCAGCCGCTTCAAATTCAAGGAGTATTGTCCCCTGGTGTTCCGGAACCTCCGGGAGAGATTTGGGATCGATGACCAGGACTACCAGGTACCCTTTCTTCTCTTCTAGGACAGAGCAGCCATCCTGGCAGAGAAACCATGCTGCAAACGTTGCTGCCAGCAGCTTTTCTGGTTTATAATTGGTATTTGAGTGGTTCCACCAGAACCACAGCAGTGCAGTGGATCTTGCTGTGCCAAGCACAGGACAGTAGGAGGAGAAGGTGACCCCTGCTCCCAAGGCAGGAAACTGGGGCACAGGTGGCTGTGGACAGGCAGGAGCTGGAGGATAACAATGATTCGGCATGGAGTATCTGAAAGGAAAATGAGTTTGTGGTGTTTGTACAGATTCAGGTGAATCTGCTGCTCTCAGTCAAGTGTGTGTTTTTGAATTGGGTGTATCAAGGTGGCTCCTGCTTTGGGATCCATCCCCTAATGCCAGAGGGGCTGATTTTCTTGGAGAGGAGTCTGCTGTTAACACTGCTGGGCTCAGCTCTGGGGACAGGGAGATGTCACAGCTCCAGCTGCTGCAGCAGGGCCACCCTTCCTCAGCCGGCTCCGAGCCCTGAGCACAAGGAGCTGAGCAGAAGCAGCTCAGGGCTGGGAGATCACACGGAGCAGGGCCAGCGGGGCAGAGCACGCCGGATGTCAGGGAGCTGGAGTGTCCCCAGCACGTGGTGACAGAGCGGGCACAGTGCCAGGGGCATCCCCTGGAATACTCTGACTGCAGAGGCACGTGGGGGAGTGCTGCAGCCTCCCTGTTCCCTCCACGTGCTCCCTGCCTGGTGGGGAGAGCAGCTGGAGCAGGGCTGGTCCCACACTGCCTCCCCCTATGCCCGTGGCATAGCCCTTTGTGATGACACCCTCCCCAGGTGTGACCCACACTCTGTAGTTCATCATTTACACTCCCCCTCTTGTTCTGAGGGATTGCTTCCCCCATCTCCGGGCTGCTTTGGCTTTTTTAAAAGTGTTTTCTGTTCAGCTGGAACAGAAAACATTAATTGAGCTAAATTCAGGTGGGTAAAGTGTGATGGCTCGAGTGGGAACGGAGCCAGGAGGCTGAATTTAACACCCCAACTGTGGGAGAGGTGGGAGTGACAGGAAGGGAGCTGAGGGCTGTGAGTTTGGTAATGCTCTGTGTGGTCACGATTTCTGCTTCCCAGCTCCAGAAGAAAAGCTCTGTGGTTTTGAGGTGAGGGCTGATTAAACTGCCTGGCACAGACCCCTTTGCAAATGTCAGCGAGCAGCAAAGGGGAATTTTCTCTTTGCCTTTATTTTCCTGATGCTCTCTAAAGCCGTTGGCAGCAGCAGAGTTTTTCCCCTGCTTCATTAAAGTTTTAAAAGCTTTAAATGCTTCATTCTGAAAGGAAACCTCTGGGCTTACTTGCAGCATGACGTGGTAAATCTCTCTCTCAGAGCAGGCTCTGCTGCAGTCTCCCTCTGCTGCCAGAGCTGAGCGAGGGGGACACAGCAGTGCCACTGCCACCTAAAAAAACCAAATAATCCAGCCTGAAACACAATGTCCAGCCCAGAAATGCTGGAAAACTTAAGGACCACTCTTGGTGCTGCTGTGTTTCATAGCACTCCCCACCAGGAAATGCTGGTGAGAGGTTGCTGGTTGATAAAATTACTTGTGGGCAGGTGGAGGGGACAGACAGGGGACAGGTGACAGCTTGAGGTGTGAGCAGCAGTGACTGGGGCTGAGGGAGGAGCTCGCAGCAGGCCCTGCTACCTGGGGAGAGGCAGCAGAACAAAGAGCTGGTGTTGTGGCTCTGGGAATTGATCCCTGCTCTGCAGTTTTCCTGGGATTTTCCAGCCCTGCTGCACTGTCTGGTTGCTAAGGGTGGAGACAGGGATCTAAAGGCAGATGCTGCTGGTTGTCAGAAGAACAACCAAGCTATTTATACTCATCTTGTACGTCCAGGAGTAAGAATAGCAGAGCCTGAGGGTGGCTTTTGGTGCAGGATGACCTGTGAAGAATCCCCAAACACTGAGGTTTTGGCCAGACTAAACTGCTTTTTGAGGGGAATTTCAATTTGTTTTGGTCTGGTTTTCCTTAAGCCTTAGGAATGTCCTAACTGTTCTTAAATCCCTGAGAGGAAATGCTGAGAGCTCTTGGCCTGTGTATCCTACACCTGTAAAAAACCTTCAGTAAAAAACATCTTCCAAAAACACACCCCAGGTGTTGGAGTAAAACCTGCCGTCAAGTCATGGGGCCAGCTGGAAGCCCTAAAAACACGTCCAGACTTTTAAACAATTGGATTTTACCCTCAGCAGCACCAAATCTGGAGTTCACAGCCAGAGTGGGTGGTTGAGCCGGTCCTGTGGGGCTGGCCCTGCTGCTGAGGGAGGTGACAGCTCCTGGCACCATCCCCACGCCGTGTCTGTCCCCCAGAACTCGGTGACACGCAGTGCCCCGGTGAACAGCGACAGCCAGGGCCGCTGCGGCGCGCGCTTCCTCACCACCTACGACAGGAGGTTCGTCATCAAGGCCGTGTCCAGCGAGGACGTGGCAGAGATGCACAACATCCTCAAGAAGTACCACCAGGTATGGTGAGTCTGGAGCCCCCTATGCACACCTGGGGATCTGCTGGGGGTCTGGAGCTTGGATTCACAGCTGGCAGAGCTTGAACGCAGGTTTTGTGGGAGAAATGGTCTTTAGAATCTGAGGGACAAAAATCTGAGGGATGAATGTCTGAGGGACAACCCAGCAGCTGTTTGTGGTGCTGAGCCTCTTCCCAGCTCATCCTGGCCCTTGTGTCAATAAATTATGGATCCCTGGTAGATCAGAGCTGCAAACAGGCTCCTCATTTGTTGCCTCAGACCTTCCAGAGGGGCTGGAGGGAAGATGGGAAGTGGGGTCATAGGGGGACAGCTGGAAATGTCCTGGTCCAGGTGCTGGTTCCAGCCCATCTGCTCTGCAGGGGTTCTGAGCAGGGGGTGTTTAACAGGCCCTCAGTTCCAGGCACAGCAAGGTAACCACGAGAAGTGAAGCTGGGCAGTGCCAGTGCACACCTGGCCTGTCACAGCAGGCTGGACACACACAGGGTCACAGGATCCCAGGATTGGGAGGAGCCTTGGAGATCTTCCTGCTCCATACACAGAGTCACAGAATCCCAGGACTGAGAAGAACCTTGGAGATGTCCCAGCTCCCTGCCATGGGCAGGCTGGCACTCCCTGGACCAGCTTGCTCAGGGAATGGGATTCTCACATCCTCACTCCTTTCCTGGAGACCCCAGGAGCTGTTCCAATCCTCCTTTCCTTTCCCATGGGTGCCTTGGCTGCAGCACAGTTTGTGTCCTGTCAGAGCTGGGGTTTGTGTGACAGAGCTCTGTCCCTCCCTGCTGTCCCCCAGTTCATCGTGGAGTGCCATGGGAACACGCTCCTGCCCCAGTTCCTGGGCATGTACCGGCTCACCGTGGACGGCGTGGAGACCTACATGGTGGTCACCAGAAATGTCTTCAGCCACAGGCTGACCGTGCACAGGAAGTACGACCTGAAGGTGAGGCCCTGGGGGGCTGGGGTGAGGCCTTATCCAGCCTGACCTAGAGCAGAGGCCAGGCAGAATTACAGAATGGAGAAGGGATTCTTTTGTCTCCTTGCTCTGTGAAGAGAGCTTACCATCCCATAATATGGAGCGCAGACCCACACACTAGAGCATAACAGAATCTGAAAAATACAAAAACTAAAAGGCATCATAACTCTGGGGGTTGGACCTGGAACCCCCCTTGGCAGGGTTCTGGGCTTTGGGATTTGCTCAGGGGATCAGGTTTTAGGGGGCTGTGCATGGAGGTTCAATGTTGGTCCATTGGGAGTGTGACCCAGAGTGCAGTAGTTATATTTTCTTTTTTTTTTTTTTTCTTTATTAGGGCTCAACAGTATCCAGGGAAGCAAGTGACAAAGAGAAGGTATGGAGCCATCCCTGGTCAGCCTTTCCTTTCTCCTGGTGCTTGGAAGCAGACAGATCCAACTGAGTTCCCTTTTCCATTTTCTTTTCCTTTCCATTCCCTTTTTCACCGGAGTTTTGAGAAGGGGAGGTTCCACAGGCCCTGAGTTCCCCCTTTCTCTGTCTCCCCTTTCAGGCTGGGAGGGAGTTGGCTCTGCCTGCCCTGCTGTGTTGTGGTGGCTGCCACTGCCAGGGCTGGAGGACAGTCCCAGCAGAACCAAACCCCACCTTGAGGGCAGTGCTGTCCCTAAGGAAGGGTTTCCTCACAGCACCCTAGCTACCAACCCCAGGCAGGTCAGGGGTAGATATTCCACCAGAAGATTTATAAACCAGATCCTTGGCACATTCCTAAAACTGGCTTGAGTGGGGGAATTTAGGGCTGAGCTTCCTTCCCCTGCAGGACTTCTGTGCTGCTGCTTTGAAATCCCTGTGGAAATCCCAGCAGTGCCTCGTGCTGGTCCATGTTCTGCACATAGGATTTTCAGGGTTGGAATCTGCTCCACCCTGCCCTAAAAGATCCCAGCCAGCAGCCAAGGAACTCCCATTTGCCCTGAATCCCCTGGTAACTCCTTGGCCCGTGCAGCTGGGTGGTTCATGTGAGCTCACAGAGCCACCCCACCTTCCTGTGTCACTAAAGAATTGAAACCCTGAAGCACAAAGGGGCTCCAAGTTCTCCCACATGCCCAGAATCCTCAGGGCCTGCTGCAGGCAGATCCCTCAAAAAGCCATGGCTTGAATGTTTTCCTCAAATCTTTAGGAAGAGAAGATTTGTTTGTTTGTTTGTTTTTCCCCAAGCCTTCACCCCTTTCCCCCCTGCAGTCAGAAACCAAGAAAATTAATTTATTTTATTAATTTCATTTCAATTCTGGGAGTTGCTTGGAGCATCCCTGGCCCAGTTGTGCAGTTTTTAAAGCTGACTTGCTCCACGTCTCCCTCGAGCTTCCCTGTAGGTCCAGCTGAGCCCACGGATTCCCTGACACTTTCTGTGCTCTGCCTGATGCCCTTTCCATCCTCAGTGGACTTTGAGCACCCCAAAAGCCCAGACTGAGCAGGGGCTTTTGCAGCCACACCCGTGTGCCAGCCCTCCCCTGGCAGCAGGCTGGGGAATTTCACCTCAGGCTTTTTGTTGCAGGCCAAGGATCTCCCAACCTTCAAGGACAATGACTTCTTGAATGAGGGTCAGAAGCTGCATGTTGGAGAAGAGAGTAAAAAGAACTTCCTTGAGAAGCTGAAGCGGGATGTGGAGGTAATTTCCTGGGGGACAGCTCTGCTCTGTCTCCCCTCACTGCATCCCCTCACTCCCTGAGCTACAGAAAAGTCTATCTAGCAAGATGTTAGGATGTTCTGAGTTTAATAATGGAGCTCTGTGCATTGTGTTTGAAGGCTTACAAGCAGGTATTGTGTTCAAAATAAGCAGGCATTATTTAACCAAAGGTACGTGTGCTTATAGTGGTTGGATGGAACTACTGTCAATATGCTTTTGCTTTGTGTGATTGGTCAAAAAATTTTTAAAGTAAGTTGTTACATTGAGTTCTTTGTCTACTACCAAAAATGTGACCTGCTGGCATCTTCCCATTTTCATAACCATGTAATGAGACTGATGCTGAGAGTTTGAGAGGTGTTCCACAGCAGTTCCATCCCATTTGTGATTTGTACAGACCCCCAGCTGACAGTACACAGCAACAGGTGAACAAGTGAAGATAAGAATTATTTACCATTCTTTTCTCTAATCTTCTCAGAGCCTTTCCCCAGAAAGGCCTGGGTAAGTTGTCTGTTGATCTCTGTGGCCAGAGAGCTGCTGCCACATGCATCCTCACTGCTGGCTCAGGGCTGCAGAACAACTCCTCCTGCACCAGCCGTGTCCTGCTGAGGGCAGGGGGCCTGTGCAGCTCCTCTGGAGTGTCAGGAGGGTTTAGCTCTCAATGCCAGACCTAGGGAGGCACTGCAGGGTAGGGCTGAGCCTCCCCCACCCCGTATGGGTGCCAGCTCTCACTGCTGCCTCTCTCCCAGTTTTTAGCCCAGCTGAAGATCATGGATTACAGCCTGCTGGTGGGCATCCACGACGTGGACCGGGCCGAGCAGGAGGAGATGGAAGTGGAGGAGCGGGCAGAGGATGAGGAGTGTGAGAATGATGGGCTGGGGGGGAACCCCATCTCCTCCTACGGGACCCCCCCTGACAGCCCCGGCAACCTCCTCAACTACCCCCGGTTCTTTGGGCCCGGGGAGTTCGACCCCTCCGTGGATGTGTACGCCATGAAGAGCCACGACAGTGAGTGTGGGGAGCTGGGGAGGACAGGGAAGGTGTGAGGGAGCTGTGGAGGGTAGAGGGGGTCTGAGTGAACTGTGGAGGAAGGATGGAGGGCAGGGAGGGTGTGAGGGAACTGTGGAGGAAGGATGGAGGGCAGGGAAAGGGGAGGTGTCCCAGGCTCAGTAAGGTGGTTCAGTCCTGGCAGCCAGGGTGACACCCCTGAGGCCATTCCTGTGTCCTGGCAGCCACCCTGAGCTTTCCAGCCGGGCTTGGGAAAAGCCCAGCCTAGCAGGACAAGGAATCAGCTCATTGCTGAGGTTGGAAAAGACCTTTAAGGTAGAGTCCAGGAGACAGGAGGGCTGTCCCTGCTTTGCTGGGCAGTCCCTTGTGTTGGCTGGAAGGGGGTGTCTTTGGAGGAGAGGGATGAAGCTGGGTGTGCCCAGGGGTTTTTTTTGGAGGAGGGGGTGCAGTTGGCTGTTCCCAGGGGACTGAGCCCCTGCCATGCCCCCAGGTGCCCCCAGGAAGGAGGTTTATTTCATGGCCATCATCGACATCCTCACACCCTACGACACCAAGAAGAAAGCTGCACACGCTGCCAAGACAGTGAAACATGGGGTGAGCCTGGCCCAGGGGGGCTCTTGGGTCTGGGGCTTCTGCTCTACAGCATCTCCTGGGGTGGAAGGTGTCCCCAGCACTGATCTTCCTGCCAGGGTGGGAATTCTCCAGCCCCTGTGCTCAGCACTTCCCTCCATGTCACCTCAGGGTTAGGTTTTCCCTCTGCTTGCTTGGGGTAATTTGTATTTTCATTCCAATTTAGGAGGTGCTGGAGGGATGGACTGCATGAAGGGTGACACCCCTGGGTCACCTCTGTGTCCTGGCAGTCCCCCTGAGCTCCCAGCAGGGCTTGGGAAAGCCCAGCCTAGCAGGACATGGAATCAGGGCATTGCTGAGGTTGGAATTACCTTTAGGGTGGAGTCCAGCGCAGCCAGCACCTCGGGGAGTTAGTGTGGAATCCTGGGATATGCTGGCGTGGAGGGGACCCATCGCAGACCCCAAATCCCACCCTGGCAGCCCTGGGGCCTGACCATTCCCTGGGGAGCTGTTCCAGTGCTCAGACCCCCTCTGTCTGAAAAACCTTTCCCTGAAATCCATCCTCACCCTCCCTGACTCAGCTCTGGGAGCTCTTGTGCTCCTAACTCTGTGAGCCACGAAGGTTCACAGTGCCCTGACTGGACATGCAGCTGGAGTTGAAGTCATTTTCCTTGGGGATCTCTCCAGACCTGCTGGGTTTTCCCTTAGCCGTGGATCCTCCCCAACAGAGGGGCTGTGCCCCTGCTCCCTCCCTGCCCCTCTGACCCTTTCCTGACCCCTCCTTGACCCCCCTCCCTGCCCCCTGACCCGCTGTCTCTCCACAGGCCGGGGCTGAGATCTCCACGGTGAACCCCGAGCAGTACTCGAAGCGCTTCAATGAGTTCATCTCCAGCATCCTGACATAGGGGCACATCCTGCTGCAGGGCTGCAGGCAGGCCTGGGGGCTGCTCCTGCAGCCTGGGACAGCACAGACATGCAGCAGCACCGGAGCACACCTGTGGCACCGTGTGGGGCACGTGTGGCACCGTGTGACAAAACCCATCCTCATCCTCGCTGCGCCTGCTGCACCTCTGGGTTTGGCGTTCCAGAAGTGCCCAGATCTCAGATTTGAGGGCTTTTCCAAACAAGCCAAGTGCATTGTTCCAGCACTGCTCTTTCTGCCCAGTGACATTTTCTCCTCTCTGCTGAGGGGCTGGGACATGTGTGGCACTGTCCCCGAGGGGTCACATTCAGCAGTGCCTGACTCACAAACCACTCCTTGTTTTTTGTGTTGTTGTTGTTGTTGTTTTATTGGACTGGCTTGGCCAGAAAAAGAAAAAAAAAAAAAACAACCTTTATTTCCCTCTCGGTAGGAATTGGAAGGAAAATAGCTCACCATTTCAAGGATGGAAAATATAACTCTGATAAAAAGGAGGAGTCGCTGAACTTTAGGTAAATTCAGACTGGGACACTTTATATTTTTTCGGTTAATTTAAGTAACAAAAAAGAAAAGGAAAAAAAAAACAAACCACTTTTTAGTAACTGCACTTGATTTACAAGAAAGATGAGGGAAATGAACATCTACCAAAGATGATGTCTGGAAAAAAAAAAAAGGTGTAACTCCTAAAAGCTAAAAACAAGCAGAGAACTGAGAGAGGCATTGACCAACCTCAGCTCATTATGTGCTTGGACCTGGGGCGATTTTAATTGGCCAGCTCTGAAGATTTCCTTAAAAGAAGAGAAAAAAAAAAAAAAAAAGATTTTTAAAAAGGCATTTTTGTACCTGTAGATCCAGGCTAAGATTTTGGGCCACTTCCTCAGCCAGGAATGGCTCTGAGGTCACCATCACAATCCTGCCAGTGTTAATTAGCTAATTAATTATTCAGTCTTCCTTCCCCACCTCACCTGCAACAGGTACTTGAATCTGTGTCCTGACAGAGGTTGCTGGGTTGGTTTTTTTGTGTTTTATTTTTAAAAAATGTGACTTGCACAGAAGGAATTGGCCTGGCTGCCAGGGGGGAGTGCTGGGAGCTGGGCTCATCCTGCTCCCAACCCCCTGAGCGACCCTCCAGGAGTGGAAATGGTTGAACTCTCACACCAGATTTCTTTTGCAGCCCCCCCTGAAGGATTTTGGGACTGATTGGAGTGACTGAAATCGTCCTGTTTTGTCTCCTTTAACCCTTTCACAGCCAAGCTCGGCAGCCTTGCTGTGGGTTTCGTAAGCTCTGCTGCACAACAGAACTTTTGGTTCTTTGTTTTGGGATTTGTTGTTTGTTTTTTTTTTTTTAATTTTAATTTCCTTTCTCTTTTTAAGCAGGATTTAGAGTCTTGAACAAACCTCTTTGCAGTTGAAACATGTTGCTTAATCTGCCTTGGAACTGTTTTTCACACATGCCTTTGTTTGGGGAATAAGCTGTTGGGAGTGTCTGTCCTGTGCTGTAACAGTTCTTGCTGTGTGGAATTTTGGTCCTTTTTGAGACATAACTGGTGCTCATCACACCCTAGTAATTCCCCTAAATTAACCCTGCCTCTGGCTGGATTCTGAATGTGGGGTTTGGGGGATTTTTTTGGTTTTATTTCCTCTTCACCCCCTCCCCATTTCCCCTCCCTGATGTGAATCCCCCCCACAGGTCTCACCTTGGCAGGGGCTGAAATTGAAGCCCCTGAGGGTGCACTGTAAATAGAATTTTGGAGAAATTAAAAATTAGGGGTCCTGATGGGATTTGAGGATTTTTGGTCCTTCCCTTTGGCGTGGCACAAATTTCTGCTGCCCCTTTGGTGTGGGAGGCTGGAGGGATTTTAAGCTGTGGAGCTGGAAAAGCCACGACCCAAATGCAGCTAAAAAATACTTTAAAAGAAAAAAAAAAGGAGGATTTAGAGGGCATCATCAGCTTCATTTTGTGGGCATTATATTGGTTGCTTCTCTCTTAGTAAGCACTTAAGTTTACTGCTAATTAGGAATTAAACACCAATCACTTTTTATTCCTGACAGTTAAAAAAACAAAAAATTGCATTGAATCTGCAACTTTGACCTGGTAAGTTTACCCTTCTCCTTTTGGGGAAAGTAGCTTGGAAGTTGTTTTATCTTTAAATCATCTATTAAAAAAAAACCAAACATAAATAAATAAAGAGGAGAAAAAGGGAAGAGGAAGAGAGCAGGAGGTGGGTGAACACCATAGAGCAAACCCAGAGAAAGGGGAGTGAAGATGGCAAAAAAATCTCCTTTATTGAATTCCAGAATAATGAATAAGGAATCCAATCAAAAACCAGAGAATTCCTGCAGAAATCCTTACAGAGTTCTGACAAAAATTGAGAACAGGAAATATTTTCTTATTCCAAACTCCTGCTGGGATTAAATTTGGCTGTTCCAGGTGAATCTGGGGAGGTCCCACAAAGATTCTGCCCCTTCTGTCCAGTTGCCATATTGTGTATTGAAGTGATTAAATGCAATTTTCTCACCTAATGATGTATTACCCAGGTATGTAACTTTGTTTAACAGAAGCATTTTTGTATATTGTTTACATTTGCAGAAGTAGCATTACCTTAAAAATGCTAAATTTTGTTTCTAGACAGTATTTTTTATTATCAGAACAAGAAGTGAAGCTGCAAATATTTTGATTTGTTTTTAAAAGGGACTTTTTCTTTCTGTTTGTTTTCTTTTCTTTTTGCTTTGCTTTGTTTTGTTTTGTAGGGTTTTTCTTTTTCTTTTAAATCTTGTTTTAGGTCACTTTTTAACTTAAGTATTTAAAAAACAAAAAAAAAAAAAAAAAGGAAAACCCAGCCCTTTCAATTCTGGTTTTACAACTGCTTGTGCTAGTTTGTTGTCTGGTTTTGGTGTGGATTTAATTCTAGCTTTTGCTGAATGTAGATATCCCTGTCCTTAGCATGAACCCTGCAGAACACATTTAACTGACAGAATTTGCAGCAGAATTCAGGATTTTTTTTTGGCCAAAAAAAAAGCAAAATTTGGTCCAGTGGAGCTCCAAATAATCAATGAGCAGCATCTCCCCCTCTGCAGTGCCTGAGACAGGAGGAGCTGCAGGACCCACATTCCTGAGGGATTTAAAACCCCCAAAATCTGCTTTGAGCTGGGAATTCCCACCTTCCCTGTTGGGACAGCCCCGAAATCAGAGTGGGAGAGGGGAGGCAGAGCCAGCTGTGCTCCAGGAGTGCAATAAATGCACTGCAGAGCTGCTGGGCTGGGAGCTGGGCTGGGAACTGGGGGTTCCCCAGGGCTGGGATTTGGGGAACAGCCCCAGGAGCCGTGGGAGCCTTCCCTTGGTCCCTCCTCACCCCTGCCTGGCCCAGGCTCCATCCTGAGCCACAATCATGGAATAAATGGGGAATTTACCCCATGGAATTAATTGGGAATTCACAGGGAGTGAATTCCATGGGGATGGAGTTCATCCTGTGGGGACAAAATTTACCCCCATGGGGACAGAATTCACCATGTGTGGTTGGAATTCCTTCTGTGGGGATGGAATTAATCCCGTGGGGAAAGAATTCATCCTATGGGGGTGGAATTCATCCTGCTGGGATGGAATTTATCCCATGGGCATGGAATTCACCCCACTGAGGACAGAGTTCACCCCGTGGGGCAGCAGGGGGCGGCCACACTCCCACAGTCCCAGCTTGGAATCTGGATCAGCACAATCAGCAAGGAAATCGGAACCACTTTTGAGTCTTATTTCCTTTTTTTGTTTTTTGGGGGTTTGTTTGTTTGTTTGGGTTGTTTTTTGGGGGGTTTTTTTGAGTTTTTTGTTTGTTTGGATGGGTTTTTGTTTGTTTTTTGTTATTGTTATTGGTATTTTGGGTGGAAATCCCTGCTTTCCCAGCCAGGCCAGGCTCAGGGAGGTGAGGAGGTTGTGGTGGTGGATATTCCCAATCCATGACTACTATGCAGTCCTTTCCCAGGCCTCCCTTCCAGCTGCACCTGGAATTTCACCCCCAGCTGAAGGATTTTCCCCCAAAACCAGGGGGGTGTCCCCAGCATGGCCACAGCCCCGAATTCCCAAATGTCCCCTTCCTGCAGAGCCACTCCCAGTGTCCCCCTCAGCCCCTGCTCCTTGTCCTGGCTCTGTGGTATGGATCCCATGGATAACTGGGATGGCAGAGCTGTGGACACATCGTTTTTAGTGGAAACCACTCAAAATTTCTGCTGCTCTGGGGCTGCCCAAGCAGCTGGACGGGAGTGGAGAGAGCAGATTCCACACACAGGTCATGAGGGTGGGCAGGGCTAATCAGTGCAACTGAATTGAAAAGAAAAAATGTGAATAAATTAAGTTTAATCTAAAAACTAAACAAAATAAAAACCTTAAAAAAACTTAAAAAAAATTAAAAAGTAAAAAAAAGAACATTCTAGGTTTTTTCACTGCTGTTTTTTAAATAGGAATTTGAAGTCCTCTGTGCTTGTCTGTTTGCTAGGAGCAGTTTGAGACACTGTTACTGTTTTGAAATGCATGCATGTTACAAGATGAGTCTCCAACCAGAGAAAAAAAAAAAAAGAAATAAAATTAAAACTTTGTGTACATCTGGATCCTCCCTGCTGTGCTCTTTGCGGGGTCACCCTGAGCTGCTCCTCCAGCATGGGGAGTCCTGGGGGGGACAGGATGGGGGAAAACTGGGAGAGGGGCAGGGTTTAAATGGAATTTTGGGAAGGAATTCCCCTCCTGGGAGGGGCTGGGATGGAATTCCCAGAGCAGCTGTGGCTGATCCATCTCTGGAAATGTCCCAGACCAGGCTGGAGCCCCCTGGGACAGTCAAGGTGTCCCTGTCACTGGACAGGGTTAGGTTTTCCCTCTGCTTGCTTGGGATAATTTGTATTTCCATCCCAATCTGGGAGGTGCTGAAGGGATGGACTGGATGAAGGGTGACACTCCTGGAGCCACCTCTGTGTCCTGGCAGCCAGGGTGACATCCTGACCCTGCTCAAAGGCACCAAAAGGGAAGTTCAGGGCAGAGTTTTATTTTAAAAAGTCCCGAGTGGCACAGAGCAGCTGGGCTGGGCTAATCCATGCGAGCTTTCAGGGTCCTGGTGGTGATCTTGTCTTTCTCTCTGGAAAGGGAAAAAGATGAGATTATTTACTGCTAAACACAGGTTTAAACCCTTCCTAGAGCTTGTTCTGCCTTGGTAAGTCCCAGGTGCACAGGCAGGAGCTCAGGTGGTTGTGACAACAATCAATAAACCCTTCATTGTGGGGAGCTCCCAGGGTTGGGGTGCTGCAGGGGCAAAATGGGATTTTCCAAAGGCAGCTGGTGACAGAGGTGAGAGTTAATGCTGCATCCATGGCGGGGGCAGAGCTCCTCAATCCCATGAGAATTCTGGGAGTTAATGCTGCATCCATGAGGGGCAGAGCTCCTCATTCCCATGGGAATGCAACCACAGAATCCCTGAGCAGCAGGACTCAAAATTCCAGGATTCCATCCTCAATCCCATGGGAATGCAGACAGGGAATTGAGCAGAGGGACTCAAACTCCAGGAGTCATTTCTTGGCTCCAGCAAGGAACTGCACCAGCAAAATCAAACCCTGGGAAGGAACAGAGCCTGGCTGAGGAGGGGCAGGATTTGGGGGATCCTTGAGGGAAGGGAAGGGTTTGGGGATCCCTGAGGGAAGGGAAGGCAGTGCCCAACCCCTGGATTTGGGGATCCCTGAGGGAAGGAAGGGAAGAGAAGGCACTGCCCAGTCCCCGGGAGCCCCAGCACTCACATGACGTGCACCACCACGCCCATCCCGGAGATGGCATCTCTGTCCACAGCGTTGAGCATGGCCTGCGAGATGGTCTCGAAGAGGTGCTCGGGCTCCTGGGGTACAGAGGGAGCACAGGGCTTCACCTGGGCTGCACATCCTCCCAGAAATTTCACCCAAACCCCCCAAAACCCTGCAAGCTTTCTCTCTCAGGCTGCACAAGGCACACTTGGAATGAAGCCTCTCCCCAGCTCAGTGTCTCCAGTGAGCACAGAAGGGAGAACTCCTGAATCCACAGACCACAGGAGATCCCAGGTGACCGCAGGCTATCCCACGTGACCCCAGGAGATGCCAGGTAGGGGACCCTAGGTGACCCCAGACTATCCCAGGTGACCCCAGGCTATCCCAGATGACCCCAGGCTATCCCAGATGACCCCAGCCCCACTGACCATGTCGGGTTCCCACAGGGACTCGCACATCCCGTACATCTGCTCGGAGCAGGTGCCGCTGACGACGAAGTCGTCAGTGACCATGGGGCAGCCGATGAGGTCCAGAGAGCAGATGAAGGGTTCGTGGCTGAGCGGGTCCAGCCCCGCGATCACCGGCTCCGTGTAGTAGGGACCAAACCTGGGGACACAGCTGGGCTCAGGACAGCCCTGGGCACAGGGACAGTCCCGGAGGGACCACAGGAATCACCCTGCTCTTCTGAGACCACAAGGATCATCTTGGCATGGGACAATTCCCCAAAATCCCAGCCTTGCCCAGGAGCGGTGTCCGAATGCTCCTGGAGTTCTGGCAGCTTTGGGATCATGACCATTCCCAGCCCAGCTGGGCTCAGGACAGCCCTAGGGACAGGGACAGCCAGGAGGGACCACAAGGATCACCCTGCTCTTCTGGGACCACAGGGATCATCTCAGCACAGGACAATTCCCAGAATCCCAACCTGTGCCCAGCAGCAGTGTCCGAACGCTCCTGGAGCTCTGGCAGCTTTAGGATCCCCATTCACAGAGCTCACCCTCCCTTCCCTGAATTTCCAACCCAGCCATTCCCTCCAGTGCCCAGAGCTGTCCCCATTCCAAGCCCTGGTGCAGTCCCACATCCTCAGAAATGTTTTCCTGGCACAGAAACCATCCCACAGCTGCTTTCAGGGAGAGCCCTGCCATGGTTTTGGCATAGCAGACCATCCTGAAGCAGAAGGAGTTCGTTCTGCTTTGACAACTGATTCTGTTTGAATTTGGGGAGGAAATATCACCCCAAGAGAACAAAAACCTGCTCAGGGAGGGGGTGGTGGCAGCAGGAAATGATCGAGGCTCCTTTGGCCACTCCAGCACCCTCAGCCCTCTCTGGCACCACACAGAAATTGCAGCTTTTCAGTTTTACCTCCTCTCGTAGAGCAGGTTGGACACCATGCTCATGAAGGTCTGGGGCTTGATCTGCCTCCCTTCCTTCAGCTCATAGAGGTTCAGCCTAAACTTCAGCCTCTGGGCCCTGCAAGAGATCAGAGCTGGGCTTAAAGCAAAGCAGGGTCCTGCTGCTTCCCCTCAGCCAGGCCTGGCTGCTTCTGCTGCTGACAGACACCAGCACCGAGGGCTGCACACACAGCTGCTGCTGCAGCTGAGCTGGAACTGTGAGAGGAAAAGATGAATTTCAGGGGTGAAAGTGGAATTTTAGCAGTGAGAGTTCAAGTTTAGGAGTTAAAATTGAATTTTAGCAGTGAAAGGTGAATTTTAGGAGTTAAAGTTAAATTTTAGTAGTGAAGGTTCTGTTTTAGCAGTAAAAGTTCAATATTGGCAGTGCAAGTTGAATTTTAGCAGTGAAATCCCAACTCCAGCAGTGAAGTCCCAACTCTAGCAGTGAAATCCCAACTCCACCAGTGAAATCCCAACTCCAGCAGTGATGTGATCCCAATCAGGCTGCTTTATTTCCAAACCTCTCCCAGCAGCAGAACCAGGCACAGCAGCATCGGCACCGTTAATTCCCATTAACCCAAATCCCCAGCCCTGCCGGGCCCTCACTTACACGGTCTGCACGTCCGTGGCCAGCCCGGCCAGGCCGATGTAGAGCCTCTGGCCCATGGGGAAAATCTTCTGGAAGTCGGTGGTCACGGTCTGCGCCTGCACGCCGAAGCGCCGGTCCGCGGCGATGGCCACGCAGCCCCGGCCCCGCATGGCCATCACGGCCCCGCCGTTGTACGACATGATCGACTGCACGGAGAGGTGGCTCAGGGCACCGGAGCGGCCTCCGGGGTGTCCCGGTACCGCCACCCCGAGCTGGGGTTCAGCCCCCACCGCTCCTTGCCGGGCCTCCCCTCACGAAGCGGCCCCCGCGGCCCCCCCGGTACCGCCACTCCGAGCTGGGGTTCAGCCCCGGCCGCTCCTTGCCCCGCTGCCCACGGGCCTCCCCTCACGGAGCGGCCTCCCCCGCACTGTGCCGGGCCCCGGAGGTGCCGTGCCGGATCTCACCATGGCTGCGGCTGTTCAATCACCCCTCGGTCACCGTTCTGTCACCGCTCTGTCACTGCTGTGTCACCGCCGTGTCCCTGCACCGCCCCCGCTCCGCTCCCGGCTCGGTCTCTGCCCAGGCCCCGCTCCGGCCCGGCCGCGCCGCCGCCGCTCCCGCCCTCACCACTTCCCATTGGCTGTCGGCCCCGCTGGTCCCGCCCTCACCGCTTTCCATTGGTCACTGCCACCGCCGCTCTCACGCCAACGCTTTCCATTGGTGGCCGCCGCCAGTAGTTTCGCCTTCCACGCTCGCCATTGGCCGCCGCCGCCGCCTGGAGCCGGAGGCTGCTGGGGATTGGCGGGAGCGGCTGGGGCGCGCGCAGGTGATTGGCTGAGGCAGGGGAGGGTGGCGGGGCGGGAAAGTGACGAGTCACAGTGAGCGCGCGAGGCATGACGGGAGTGCGGGAGGGGTGTCATCTGGAAAAAGGGAGAAACAGCTGGAAAATGGGGAAACAGCTGGAAAAATGGGGGAAAACTGGAAAAAATGGGACTGTCTGGATAAATGGGAACAGCTGGAAAATGGGGAAACAGATGGATCGGGGCAGGGCTGAATAAATGAAGGCACATCTGGATCAGTGGGGGGAACAGCTGGAGCAATGGGGAGCAAATGGATCAGTGGGTGCACAGCTGGATTGGGGAACAGCTGGATAATCGGGGCACAGCTGGATCCATCAGGAGAACAGCCGCATCTCCAAGGGTGGGGACACAGCCCCGAGCTCGCCGATCCAAAGGGGATTCTCCCAAAAATCTCCTCGGGAAGCGCCGGCACGGGGTGGGAGAGGTTGGGGTCACTCTGGGGTCACGGCACATCCCGGCCCCGATGGGCAGGCAGAGCCCGGCCCGTGCCCGCTGCGGTTTTAAATCCCATTTTTAAATCTTATTTTTAAATCCTATTTTTAAAGTGCGTTTTTGAGGGGTTTTCCGTCACAAAAAGTACCTGGCGGGAGCCGGAGCCCGCGTTCCGGCTGTGGGAGCAGCCCCGGGCAGAGCCAGGGGAGAATACCCGGAATCGATCCCAGCGTGGCCTCGTGCCCGGGGTTGAAGAGGAATTCCGGCAGTTCGGGAATTCCATCGTCTCAGGGCAGAAAAATGGAATTTACTGGAGTTTTCAGAGAGGGGAAGCTCGGTCTGGCACCCTTGGGACCCCCTTCAGTTTAATTTTGAGGCAAAATACGGGATTTGGACGGAAACAGGAACAGGTGCGATTTTAATGTCCCAAAAGGTCCTCGTGGGAGCACAGCGGGGACGGTTTGGGGGCACCGGGAGCTGCTTCTCCACGTCGGAGGGACCACTGCGAGCGGATGCCCGGCAAGCGAACGCTCTCCGTGTCCGGTTCCGTCCCTCCCGGGAAAAGGAAAATGAGCGGCCCGTCCCTGGGTGGGCTCGAACCACCAACCTTTCGGTTAACAGCCGAACGCGCTAACCGATTGCGCCACAGAGACCGCGCTGGCAGCTGCTCGCGCTCATGGCCCTCACTGCGGAAACCGGAACAAAAACTGGGAATAAAAACGGAATACCGGGAATACCGGGACACCGGGAATGGAAACGGGATACCGGGAACGAGGACGGGATACCGGGAATAGAAACGGGACACGGGATACCGGGAATGGAAACGGGACACCAGGAACGGGATACCGGGAATGGAAACGGGACACCAGGAACGAGACCGAGACAACGGGACACTGGGAACGGGACACCGGGAATGGGACACAAGGAACGGGACACCGGGAATGGAAACGGAATACCGGGGACGAGAACGGGACAGCGGGAATACCGGGACACAAGGAACGGGACACCGGCAACGGGAGTGAGACACCGGGAATACCGGCAAAGGGAACGAGACACCTGGAATACCGGAACACCGGCAATGGGACCGGGACACCGAGAACGGGAGCGGGAACGGGATACCGGGATTGGGAACGAGATACCGGGAATGGGACATTGGGAACGGGAACGGGACACCGGTAATACAATCGGGACACCGGGAACGGGATACGGGGACAGGATACCGGGAACAGGACAGCGGGAATGGGGAACGGGGACAGGCACCGGCAACGGACACCGGGAACAGGACACCAGACACTGGCCCCAAGCACAGGACACTCGACACCGGCCACGGCCCTACTGGAACCAGCACCGGGACGCCGGAACCGGGGCAACCGAGCACTGAGACCGGCACTGGTAACAGCTCCAGCAGGCACCGACCCCGCGATCCCGGGAACCGAGACAGCGGCACGGACAGAGGCTCACTGGGAACCCCCGGGCACGGGGCCACCGGGACGGGGCCGGGCTGCGAGCGCCGGCAGCGGGAGGGGCGGGGAGCCGCCGGTAATCCCGGGCATGTGAGAGCCGCGTTCGCTCAGCGCCTCCCGCTCCTCCTCCTGCCTCTTTCCCCTCCTTTATTTCCTTCCCGGCTTTTCTATTTTTTTTTTCACTCTTCTTCTCTTTTCCTGCCTTTTTTCTCTCCCTCCTTACTGTTCTTCCCTCTTTTCTCCTTTCCTTTTCTCCTGTTATTTTTTCTTCCTTTTCCCTTTTTTCCCCCCTCTCATTTTCCCGGTTTTCTTCCCTTCCTTCTCCCTATCGTTTTCCATCTTTCTCTAATTTCCCTCCATTTTTTCTTACCTTCCTTTTTTCCATTCCTTTCTCCCCGATTTTCCCGTTCTCCCTTTCTTTCCCTAATTTTTATTTTCCTTAGTTTTTTCACCTCTCTTTCCCCTCTTCTTGTCCATTTCCCCCTTTTTTCTAATTTCCCTGTTTTTCTTCTTTTTCCTTCCTTCTTTTCCATTTTTTTCCTTTTCTCTAATTTCCCTCTATTTTTCTTCCTTTTCTTTTATTTCCTCCCTTTCCCCCCTCTCATTTTCCCATTTCCTTTTCTTTCTTTCATTTGGCCCCTATTTTTTCCTATTTTCTCCCCTTTTTTTTCCATCCCACTCCTCCAATTTTCCATTTTCCCTCTTGAAATTCCTTTTATTTCTGGGGTTTTTTTTCTTTCTTTTTTCCCCTCTTCCCTTTCCTTCTCCCGAGGGTCCCGCAGAGGATCCCGCTCGTCCCGAGTCACAATTTGTGGCCAAAACGGGGTCCCCGGTGGGGGGACACCGCGCCCGGAGCTTCCACCGGGCACCGCGTTTTGGGGCCGTTCCAGCGGTTTTGGGGGCTTTCTCGTTTCCCCCCCGGGGATGTCCGCCATCACTGGGGCTGGGGGGTTCCGGGGGGGTCCCCCCAATCTCGGCCCCTCGCTCCCTCCTCCGCAGCCCCCCAAAGGAATGAGGTCACGTGAGGCGGGCGGGGCCTGGCGGCGGCTGGAGGTGGGAAAAAATAAAAAAAAAATTAAAAAAAGAGGAAAATATTTTAAAAAAGGAGGAGGAAGGAGGAAAAAAAAAAAAAGAAGGAAAAAAAAAAAGAAAAGGAGAGGGAGAGTGGAGGGAAAAAAAAAATATAAAAGGGCCGCGGCCGCAGCGCCGCCCGAGCCGAGCCGAGCCGAGTCGCGGGAGCGGAGGGGCGGCCGCGGGGCCGCCGCTGCCGCCGCCACCAGGTAGGGACCGGCCCCGGTGCCCCCCTCCGGCCCGGGCCCCGCCGCGGTCCCCCCGCCCCGCCGGCCCCAAAGATGGCGATGGCCGCCGCCGCCCCCGCTTTGTGCCCCGGGACCCCCCCGGCCGCACCGGCGGCGGCTGCGGAGCCCCGACAGCCCCGGGGGGGGGGGCCGCGCCGCCCCCGCACCGCGCCCGCCGCGCCGGGACCGCTCCGGGGCCGGGGGCGCGCGGCGGGACCCCCCCGGGGCGGGCGGAGGGGCCGGGCCGCGCTGACAGCCGGCCCCGAGTACAAAGGGGACGCCCCGGGGCCACCGGGGCCGCCCCACCCCCGGCCCCACCGGGCCGTGCGGCCCCGGAGGCGGCGGGAGCTGCCGGGGGGCGCGGCCGGGCACCCCCCGGGCACAGCGCGGGGCACGCGTGGCCGAGGCCACCCCGTGTCTCCGTGTCCCCCGTCTGTCAGTGCCCACCCCCGGGTATCCGTGTCCCCCCCGGTGTCCGTGTCCCCCCCGGTGTCCGTGTCCCCCGGGTGTCACGCCCCGCGGTCCCGTCCCGCCGCCGCTCCCGGTGCCGTGTAGCGTGTCCTTGTCCCCACACGCTCTGTGGTCACTCGTGTCCAGCGGGGCTTCCTCCCCATTCCCGCAGCTCCGGTGCCGCGTCCCGCACGCCGGGAATGGTGGGGGGGTCCCGGCGGGCGCTGCCGGGGGTGGCGGGGCCGCGCTCCGGGGCTGTCCCCTCGCGTTCCCGGCTCTGTCCCCTCGCGTTCCCGGCGCTCCGGGCCCCGTGGGCGACGTGCGAGGCCCGGGCCGTGCCGGGGGAGCCGTCCCGGGGCATTTCCCGAGCCCCACGCCCGCCGCCGCCGCCGCCGCCGCCGCCGCCGGGGGTCCCGGGGGTGGGGGCCCGAGTTGGCGGTGACTTTGAAACGCCCTTCCCCGCCCGTGCCCGGCCCGGGGGCTTCGGGGAGGGGGGAACACCGCGCCGGGCCACCACCCACGGAGACAAAAGAGCCTGAAAGTCGCTGCCGGGGGTGCGGGAGCCACCGGCGGGACGGGACGGTCCCGGGGACTGCGGCCGGGGCTTTGTTCCCCCTCTCCCCAGCACGGGAAAGCGCGGCCGTTATCGGCCGGGTTATTAGAACCGGTTCGCGCCGGTGGCTCGGGCTCCCCCCTCCCGCCGAGCCCCGGGGCCGCCATTGACGGCTGCGAGCACCGAAAGCGGCGAAATCCCCTCCAAAATGCAGCCGTGGCTCTCCGGTGTCTGGCGGGGCTGCCCGGTCCCGTGCGGGGGTGACGGGGACAGGGCACCGCGGGACCCCCGACACGGGGAGGGGCTGGTCGGGCCCCCCCTCCATCCCCTGGGGCTGGGGGCAGACCCGGGGGAGTGGGGCTGGGCTGGGAGGGGGTTCTGGGGCCCCCCAACCTCCCCGGGGTTCCTGAACCCCCCTTGGCTGCTGCCCCTCCAGCACGGTAGTGTCCCCATCCCGCTCCCAGTGGTGTCCCCATCTCTGCAGCATCCCAGTCCCAGCAGTGTGCCCATCCCTGTGGTGTCCCCATCCCAGTCCCAATGGTGTCCCCCTCCCTGTGGCACCTCCATCCCAGTCCCAATGGTGTCCCTGTGGTGTCCCCACTCCTGCAACACCTCCATCCCAGTGCCAGTGGTGTGCCCTCCCTGTGGGACCCCAATCCCAGTCCCAGTGACATCCTGTCCCTGAAATATCCCAACAGTGTCCCCATCCCTGTGGCACCCCCATCCCAATCCCAGCAGTGTCCCCATCCCTGGTGCTGGTGTCCTAATGCATGTGTACTGTTGCCCATACGTGTCCCTGCGTGTCACATGTGTGTCCCTGTGTGTCCCTCTGTGTGTCCTTGTGTGTCACACGCATGTCCCTGTGTGTCACATGTGTGTCACCGTGTGTCCCTCTCTGTGTCCCCGTGTGTCACACGCCTGTCCCTGCAGCCGTGCGGTGCCACCGCCGGTGCCCCGGCCCTGCCGCCGCCGTGCCCCGCTCATCTCCTCGCCGCCTGTCGCCTGGCCTCGGGTGGCAGTGACAATATCCCGGCTGCTCTCCAAGTGTCGGGGTTGCCATGGAAACACCGAAACTGCGGCGATCCCGCGCTCCGGCGGCTCCCGCTGGAACCGGGGGAAGCGCCGGCGGCTCCCGGTGTCACCGGCGCCCACCGGGCACCGCTGGGTGTCCCTGCCCGGGGGAGGTGCCCGACACCGGGCTTGGGGATTTTCTGTAGGAAAACCCATGGAATTTTTGCTGGAAATGCCTTTTCCATGGAGCCAACCCAAAATGCACTTTTTTGGGGGCTGTGTACGCACAGCCACAGGTGAGGGTTTGCTGGCAGAGAGGATTTGTCACTGCTCGGAGGTGTCCCAGCGTGTTGGGGACCCACTTGGGGACACCCAGGGACAGCCAGGGGTGAGGAAGAGGGGGCTCGGCAGCTCCTGGAGCCGGGGGTGGCTGCAGTGCTGGGAATGACAAGTGACACCGTGTCCCCTCCAGCGGTCCCTGCAGGTCCCATCCGAAGGGACCGCGGGGGTTTCCCGCACGGAGGATCCGCCCTGGGGCTGCTCCAAGATGCACAGGACCACCCGGATAAAGATCACGGAGCTGAACCCGCACCTGATGTGCGCCCTCTGCGGCGGCTACTTCATCGACGCCACCACCATCGTGGAGTGCCTGCACTCCTGTGAGTGTCCCGCGTGTCCCCAAGGGTCCCCTGGGTGCCCCGAAACCCCACAGTGACCCGTCCCACAGTGCCCACCCTGTGCCAGGCCCCGTGGAGCTGCGGGGGGCTGCACTGGGCAGGGATCCTGTCCCCACGCTGGTGTGGGGGTCCCAGGGGCTCTGTCCCCTTGTCCCCCTGCTCACAGAGGGCCCCTCTGTCCCCACAGTCTGTAAAACCTGCATTGTTCGTTACCTGGAGACCAACAAGTACTGCCCCATGTGCGACGTGCAGGTGCACAAAACGCGGCCCCTGCTCAGCATCCGGTGAGCCCGGGGGGCTCCTCTGGGGGGGCTTGGGGAGCTCAGGAGGCTCGGGGGGCTCAGGGGACTCAGAGGACTCGCGGGGCCCCTCACGCCCTGTCCCTGCTCCAGGGGACAGCCCCAAGCACCTGGAGCAGGGGGACCCTGGGGCTCTGCTGCCAGCCCAGGAGCAGCTCCATTCTGGTCCCACTGGTGTCCCCATCCCTGTGGCACCTCTATCCCAGTCCCACTGCTGTCCCCACCCCTGCATTGCCCAGCTCTGTTCCTGACCCTAAATCCTGCAGCAGAGGGGGTTTGAGGAGCTCTCCAGGTGGGAGGGGAGTAGGGACAGGGGGAGATGCCACCACGGAGGGAAGAGCACTTGGTGACATGTGTGTGGCAGCAGAAAGATGGCGGGATGGGTGCCCTGTGTCCTTTCCCACAGATCCTGGACCCCATCGGTCCGTCCATCCATCCATCCATCCATCCATCCATCCATCCATCCATCCATCCATCCCTTTCTTCCCTTTTTTCCCCATTTTTTCTGGCTTGCTATAATATTTACACTCCCATGACTCCTCCAGAGTCTCTGTCTCTGCCTGCAGGGACGGAGCCGCCACTGTCCCCGAGCCCTGGGGGGTGGTGGCACCTCCATGTGGTGCCAAGGTGGGGAAAAATGTGGGAAAAATTGGGGAAAACTGGGAAAAAGTGGGAAAACTGGGAAAACCATGGGGGAAAACTGGGGAACACCTGGAAAAACTTGGAGATTTGAGGCCTTGGGATGAGGAAGTGGGGATTTGGGATGGGGAACTGGGGTTTGGGGGTTTTGGGATGGAGGATTGGAGATCTGAGGCTTTGGGATGGGGAACTGGGGGTTTGAGGGATTTGGGATGGGGAATTGAGTATTTGGGGTTTGGGATGGGAAACCCAGAGGGGAGCTGGGGGAAGTTTGTGCCTGGAGGTGAAGGGCACAAACTGCTCTTGAATCCCACTGATTTCTCCCACTTTTCCTGTTTCCCCCCCTCCAGGTCGGACAAAACCCTCCAGGACATCGTGTACAAGCTGGTCCCAGGGCTTTTCAAAGGTACAGCCAAGGATGGGGAGAATTTGGGAATTTAGGAATTTGGGAATTTGGGGTGTTTGAAACTCACTCCCATCCCCCTGAATTCCCAGGATCTTCCCAGGGATTTCCCATTCCCACAGGGACAGCAGGACACATGCACACGGCACCCATCCCAAACTTTGGGACAGTCTGGGAGCAGGAGCTGTGGATTTGCTCTGAGTGCCTCAGGAATGGGGAAAAGTTCAGGATTTGGGGTGTGGGGACCCAAAATCCCTCAGGATTGGGTGCCACTCTGGGGTTTATGGGATGGCTCCTGCTGGAGCTCCCACGGGAATTCCCTGGGCATTCTGGGATGTCCCCTGTGCCCCTTGTTGTTAACCCCGCCCCAGCTGTGGTGCTGTCCCCACTCATGTCCCTGTCCCCATCCCTGTCCCTGTCCCTGTTCCCACAGATGAGATGAAGAGGAGACGCGACTTCTACTCTGCGTACCCAGTGGCCGAGGGTGAGTGTCACATGTCACAGGGTCACAGTGTCACAATGACAAGTGTGAGTGTCAATCTCACAATGTCAGTGTCAGTGTCACACTGTCAGTGTCCCAGTGCTGCAGTGTCCCAGTATCCCAGCCCGTGTCCCTGTCCCGCAGTTCCCCTGGGCTCACAGGAGGAGCGTGGCGAGGTGGCTGAGCAGGACCAGGGCACGGGGCCCGAGGACGAGATCGTCAGTCTGTCCATCGAGTTCCACCGGGACTGCAGGTACGGCCAGCTCCGGTACCACCCAGGGCTCCGATATGGCTGGGCTCCGGTACCACCTGGGCTCCCGGTACTGCCCGGGGCCCTGGAACCACCTACAGCTCCCTGTCCCCATCTGGAACCCCAGCAGTGCCATCCCTGATCCCAGTGTGATCCCAGATCACAGCAGTGCCATCCCTGATCCACCTTTCCCCAAACCCTGTCCCGTGTCCCTCCCCAGGGAGGACCAGAAAGGTGCTGTGGAGAACGGGGACCTGGACAAGGACAAGGTGAGCAAGGGGTGGCACTGTGGTGGCACCGTGGTGGCACAGAGTCCTCAGTGCCCAGCTGCCTTGGGGGGGTCCTCTGGGGTACAGGGGGACACCCCAAGCCCAGGTCTCCCAAGCCGGGTCCCCCCAGACCCGGTCCCCCAGAGCTGTCCCTCCCCAGGCACCGCCGTGCCCACCCAGCCCCGGGCTGCGGTTCCTGCGCTGCCCCGCGGCCATGACCGTGCTGCACCTGGCCAAGTTCCTGCGCAACAAGATGGACGTGCCCAGCAAGTACCGGGTGAGCAGCTGGGCTTCTGGAATAGTTGGGAACCTTCTGGAATAGTTGGGAATGCTCGGGAATGCTCAGGAACGTTCTGGACCGTCTGTTTGGGAATGGTCGGGAACAGTCGGGAACATTCCAGAATGTTTGGGAATGGTCAGGAACATTCAGGAATGGTCAGGAATGTTTGGGAGTGCTTCTGAATGTTTGGGAATGTTTGGGAATGCTCGGGAATGCTTTGGAGTGCTCGGGAATGCTCGGGGGGCACTGCCGGGATTCTGCCACGCTCAGCTCAGCTCGGAGGGGCCGTTTTGTCCCCTCAGTGTTGCATCCACTGCTGATCCCTGCTTGTCCCAAATATTCCTTCTGGGCTGTCCCTTCCCTGGGGCTAGAGCCTTCTTTTTCCCATGGCTGGATCCATCCTTTCCCCGAGTCTGGATCTTTCCTTTCCCTGGGTTTGGATCCCTAATTTCTGGGGGTTTGGATCCCTCCTTTCCCGGGGTCTGGATCCATCCTTACTTGGAGTTTTTCCTGGGGTTTGGATCCATCCTTTCCCATCTCCAGGTGGAGGTGCTCTACGAGGATGAGCCCCTGAAGGAATATTACACCCTGATGGACATTGCCTACATCTACCCCTGGAGGAGGGTGAGGAAATGGGGAAACTGGGAAAACCGGGAAAAGCTGTGCTGGGAATACTGGGAAAACCTGTACTGGGGAAACTGGGAATATCTAGACTGGGAAAACTGGAAAAATATGGTTTGGGGGGATAAAACAGGGAACCAGTCCTGGAAAAAATCTGTCCTTGGGGAAAAGTGGGAAAATTGGTCATGGGGGAGCTTTTCCCATAACAAATCCCAGAGCGGGGGATTGGTGGGGGGGTGAGGGGTGTGGCAGTGCCGGTGTCCCCGCGGTGTCCCTGCGCACTGCCAGCCGTGCCCCGTGTCCCCAGAGCGGTCCCCTGGCACTCAAGTACCGCGTCCAGCCCTCCTGCAAGCGGCTCAAGCTGTGCCCGGCGCTGCCATCCGAGGGTACCAACACCAGCGGCGCCTCTGAGTGCGAGTCGGGCAGCGACAAAGCGCAGAGCCCCGGGCTGGCACCGCCCCCAGGGCTGGCATCGCCCCCCACTCTGCCCGGCCCCCCCGGGCATGCCCTGAACGGCTCCGCCTCGAACTGTCACCCGCTGCCACCCAGCTGCCACCCGGTGCCACCCGCCCGCGGCCGCAAAACCGCCCTGAACGGCAGCGCGGGCTCGGCCCTGAGCTAAAAACCTCCTGGGACTCCGAAAAATTCTCCTGGGACTCCAGAAACCCCTCCTGGGACTCCAAAAAATCCTCCTGAGACTCAAAAAAATCCTCCTGGGATTCCGAAAAATCCTCCTGGGACTCTGGAAAATCTTTCTGAGACTCTGAAAACCCTCCTGGACTCTGGAAATCCTCCAGGGACTCCAACCCCTCCAGGGACTCCAAAAAACCCTGCAGGGGCTGCTAAAAATCCTCCTGGAACTCCTGCAGACCCTCCAGGGACTGCTAAGAACCCCCAGGGATTCCTAAAAATCCTCCTGGGATTCCTAAAACCCCTCCAGGGATTCCTGAAACCCCCTGCAGACCTCTATAAAAGTGGGTGTGTACATAGGGACAGAGCAGAGTTCTACGGAATTATTTTCTAATTTAAAAACGCGGAGAAGATGCAGAAATGGCGGCGGATATTTTTAAATGTGCTTTGGGTTGGTTTTGTTTGGTTTTTTTGTTTGCTTTTTGTTTGGTTTTGTGGTTTTTTTGGGGGGCTTTGAGGTTTGAGTTTGACTTGTGGAAGATGCAGGCCCCTCCCTCATCCCACCCCCAGAGCTGGGAGCTGCCACACCCCCAAATTCCCACATTCCCAAATTCCTAAATTCCCACATTCCCAAATTCCAGCATTCCCATGTTCCCAAATACCCGCATTCCCAAATTCCCACATTCCCATTTTCCTCCATTCCCACATTCCTGCTTTTCCCGGAAGTCTTCAAGTCCTCTTCTTCTTCTTCTTCTTCTTCTTCTTCTTCTTCTTCTTCTTCTTCTTCTTCTCCTCCTCCTCCTCCTCCTCCCCGCCGGGCCGTGGTTGCACAGGTGAGGGCCAAGCACAGAACCCAAAACCCCAAAAGCCCCAAAATTCCCAACCACCCCCCCAGCCTCCCCGGGCTCTGCTGCAGGATTCTATTTCCCATTTTTGGGTTTTTTTGTGTTTTTTTCCAGGGTTTCACACTCCACCTCATAGCTGCCAGCTCCAGCAGCTCCAGCTCTTCCCAGATCTCATCCTGAGCATTTTTGGGGGATTTCTTTGCTTTCCCTGTGGGCTCTGCCCTTCTGCACAGTAAATTCGGGGATTTTGGGGGTATTTTCCTCCAGCTTGGAGGTGGCAGCACAAATCCCCTGGATTATTTTCTCTTCCCAAAGTCCTGACAGCTCCAGGAAAATTTGGGGGCACCCAAAGGTTGGGATGGAGCTGCTGCTGCTCCCCGTTTCCCATGATCCCAATTTTTTGTTTTGTTTTGGTTTGGTTTGTTTTGGGTTTTTTTTGTGTATCACCCTTCCCAGCCTCTCCTCCTGCCCTCATGGTGCGTTTGTAATAAAAGAAAATAAAAATTAAAATCAGATTTTGACGCCTTTGGCCAGGAGGCTCCGGAGAGGGGCAAGCGTGGGAAGGGAGCAAATTCCTGCAGGGAATGAAGCAATTCCTGCATGGAATTAAACAATTTCTCCACAGAATTCAACAATTCCTGTGTCTAGTTCAACAATTCCTGCAGGGAATTCAACAATTCCTCTGTGGAATCCAATAATTCTTGCATGGAATTCAGTAATTCTTCTGTGAAATTAAACAATTCCTGTGTGGAATTCAGCCATTGCACTGCCTGGCCTGGGGACACTGCCCGGGCTGGGCAGGGCCATGATTTGGGTTTGGGGGTGTTTTGGTGTTGGGTTTCCCTCTCAGTACATCCCAGACTGCTCAGTGTGTTCAGATCACGTTTATTGTCCTGGGAATGATCCCAATTTTCTGGGAACGATCCCAGTCCCTGGGAATAATCCCGTTCTCCAGGGCTTGTCCTCGGTTCAACCTTTGCAAACCTCAGGTCCGGCTTTGGAAATGAACAAACACCACAGGGGCAGCTGCCCAGAACCTCCTGAGAGATCCCACAGAGCCCACAGAGTCTCCTGCCAAATTCCACAGAGCCTCCCACCAAATCCCATTGGTGTCTCCATTCCAAATCCCACAGAGCCTCTTGAGAGATCCCACAGAGCCCAAATCCCACAGAGCCTCCTGCCCAACCCCACATCCTGCAGGTCCCTTCATCTCAAACCCCACAGACCCCTCCTGCCCAAATCCCATTGGCCTCTGCATCCCAAATCCCACAGGTTCCCCCATTCCAAACCGCACAGGTGCCGCACCCCAGGGCTCTCACACCTCCAGGTTCCTCCTGACAATCCCACGGTCCAAAGGCTGATTTGGGGTCCCTCCCTCCAATCCCACTGTCCAGAGGCTGATTTGGGGTCCCTCCCTCCAATCCCATTGTCCAGAGGCTGATTTGGGGTCGGGAGGTGAATCCCTGCAGCCGGGGCAGCTCCCGGCGCTCCAGAATTAGGATTTCATTGGAGTTTGGAGCCTCTCCTCCGGCCGTGCGGCCGTGCCGGGGTCGGGATGGGGATCCCGGTGCTGCCGGTGCTGCCGGTGCTGCCGAGCCCCGCTCAGGCGCGGGGGTGCAGCGGCGCCGCCTGCACCGCGTCCTCCCGGTGGGAGCCGTCGCAGTACGGGGGGCTCCGGGTGCGTTTGCAGCCGCAGAGCAGCGCGGGGCCGGTTCGGGTGGGGGTGAAGCGCAGCGAGGACAGCCCCGGGGCCTCCTTCTTGTGGGAACCGTCACAGAAGGGCTGCGGACAAACGGGGACGGCGTCAAGGAGGGGTTTGGGGGTGGCCGGATGCTCCTCCGGGGCTACCGTGAGCATCCCATCCCATCCCATCCCATCCCATCCCATCCCCGGAGCCCCCGGACCCTCCAGAGCCCCCCGGGGATTCCCAGTCCCAGATCCCCCGGAGCCCCCTGGGAGCCACCGCGGAGTCCCCGACCCGGGAAGCCCCGGAACCTCCCGGGATCCCGGTTCTCCCGCCCCCCACGCCGGTTCTCCTGGACGCCCCGGTTCTCCCGGCCCCCCCGGCCCGACCTGGCGCTTGCTGTGCCCGCAGGCGCACCAGCCGTAGGTTTTCCCCTCCTGCAGCTCCACCGGGAACGGCTCCTTGGCGGCGATCACCGGCTGCGGAGGGGGCGCGGAGCAGAGCGACGGGACCCGCGCCCCCCCCGAGACGTCCGGGTACCGGCGGCCGTCCCCCGCCGCCCTCATCAGCGAAACGAGCGCGGCCGCCCTGGGCCGCAGCATGGTCCCGGTGCCGCTCCCGGTGTCGCTCCCGGTGACCTTCCCCGCGCGGCTCCTCCTCCTCCTCCCGGCGCCGCCGGAAGAGCCGGGCGGGCTCGGCGGGAGCGCGGCTGCGCCGTGCGGGGCCGTTCCGAGCCGGGACAGGGTCCATTGCCGCTCCTGGCGAGTGGTCCCGGGGCTCGGTACCGCCGCCGCCGCCGTCACCCGCCTCCGGTGCCGGTGCCGGTCCCGCTGCTCCATCTCAGTGCCAGGTCCCAGTGCCGGTCCCGGTTCCCAGTGCCGGTCGCGGTTCCCACTCTCAGTCCCGGTGCCCCATCCCACTCCGGTACTCGCTCCCAGTAAGCGATCCTGGTTCCCGTTCCCAGCACTGGTCCCGGTCCCGGTGCTCCATCCCAGTGCCGATCCCGGTTCCCGATCCCGGTCCCAGTCACGATTCCCGATCCCACTGCACGGTCCGGGTGCCCGGTCCCCGTGCCCGATCCTGTTACCCGCTCCCAGGGCCCCAGTCCAGGTCTCGATCCCAGTGCAGGGTCCCAGTTCCCATTCCCGGTGCCCACTCCCACTGCCCCACATCCCAATCTGTCCTGATCCCGGTGCCGCTCCCTTTCCCAGGCAGAACACCTGGCTCAGGAGCACATCCCTCCCTCTCTGTGCCTCAGTTTGCCCCCGGTGCCCCCCGGGCCTTCAGCCTCGGCCCTGGGAATTCCCGGAATCCTGGCTGGAAGGGCTTTTGCAGTGGGAATTCCAGGAATCCTGGGTGGGAGGGCTTTTTCAATGGGAATTCCCAGAATTCTGGAGGAGAGTGGCTTTTCCAGTGGAAATTCCCAGAATCCTGACATGGGAGTGTCTTATCCCACGCTCCAGACCCGATTTTGGCAGGAAAGGGGCCAAAGCAGGGGCAGCATGAGCCTGTGGATTTGGGGCTTCCAAGGAATAAATGCTTGGAAAAAAGGAGGATTCAGGAACTGCTCACCAGCACAGCAAGAGGATTTGGATTTAATGGGGGCCATCATTGAGGTTTTTTTGGGAAAACTCCCCTTTTTCCCACTCATTCCTACCTGGGGACTATCCCTGACTTGGGATTCCTTCACACATTCCCAGCACCAGGCAGGGAATTCCCATTCCAATTTAAATTTGCCCCCTTTATCCTTATTAAAAACCAACTCGCAATTAATATTAATATTATTTATTATAATAAAGACCAGTCAAGCAGCGTGAAAAAAATATATCTTAGCTACATTACCTTAAATTGCCAAAAATATACACATTTTTCTCTTTCATTTAATATTAAAAACAAACAAACAAACAACCTAAAAATGAATAAAAAAAAGAAAAAACACAAAAGGACACATGCAACGATCCTAAATGAGAGCATCAAAATGGGTAAAGAAATGTACCCCAGTGCAACTGAAACACAGACCATCTTTAGCTTTTCCTTTTGTCCTTTCCCTTCCCCCTGCTCTCCCGTTTTTGTTTTTCTTTTTCCACAGGGATTCACCTGGAATTTCCCAGCTCCCCCTCCTTCCTCTGCCCAAGGGACATTTGGGGTGGCTGGAGGTGACAATTACTGGGGTTTGGGAGCCTTTGGAAGGTTGGTCACAGGGAGAGGTGTAAGTGCTTTCTGTCTCTGATCCCCAAATCTCGGAATTCCGGGGAGCCGGAGGGATCCAGCTCTGGGAATTCCTGGAGAACCAAAGGGATCAGGTTCCCCTGGTTGTGATCCTGCCTAAAAAACCCCAAATTCCCGGATTTCCTTCCTCTTCCAAAGCCTGGGCTCCCCAGCATTCCTGCAGGAGCCAATTCCATCATTTCCAGCCTCTGGATTCACCCCTAAGTGCCTCTCGCTGACCCCTTTGGTGCCCTGGGCTTGTCTGGGGATTTGGGCATGGACCCCAAATTGGGGGCAATCCCAACTCAGATTTTGGGTGTCCTGGGGGATCAATTCCCTTCCCAGCCCTCCCTCCATGCTCCTCACATCTTCTGGATCCCCCGGGGTTGGATTTTGGAAGAATTGGGACATTTGGGCACAACTTTGGGGTCTTTGGGGTTGTAAATGGGGCTGGAGGCCACAGGCAGCACTGCAGGGATTTGGGATCCCAGAGCAATGTGGGGATTTGGGATTTGTGATAAAAAGCAAAAAATAAAATAAAATAAAATAAAATAAACCCCAACTCCTGGCCACACCCAGCCGGCAGAGCCCCCTGCCCATCCTCCTGCTGGCCCAAAGCTGAGATTTGGCTGTTCCCAAATCCCGAGGATCTGCGTGATGGCAGGCATAGCCACCTCACACCATAACAGCCTGGGAGACAGCCCCAAAATTCCACATTTTAGCCCCAGTTTGGGACTAAATTTGCTTTCACCATCACTGCCAAGCCCGAGGCTCTTCAGAGGGAGGTGGGGGGGACATGGGGTCCCCGTGCCAGGGGTGTCCCCTTGCCAGGGGGTCCCCATGCCAGGAGGATTTTGGGTGGCACCTCCAGGGGGGCCAGGGAGGGGGAATGACCCAGCTTGGGGTGGGGGGGAAAAGAGAAAAATCCAAAGGAATTTCAAAGTGCAAGAAGGGAATTGTGCTGGAGCGGGTTTGGGGACGGGGATCCCAAAGGATGGGGCTCCCCAACAGCTTCTTAAGCTCATTATAACCTCTGGATAGATAAATCCCATTATATATTTAATATATATTTCTATTTCTGAGCAGCCAGCGGCTCTGTCCAGTTCAGAGCTCCAAGCTGGAAGCAGAAAGGGTTTGGTATTATTTTTTTCTCTGTTTTTTGTTTGTTTGTTTTGTTTTGTTTTTAAGACAACCCTTGTAGTGTGAATCTTAGGGAAAAAAAAAAAAAACAAAATAAAATAAAATAAACATTTAAAAAAGGAAATTCAGCGGAGGATTTCGCCTGGGCCGAGCTTTGCCAGCACGATCAGCGCAGCCCCACTGCTGATAGCTGATAGGGAATAGTGCAAAGCAGGAAGGGCAGTGGGGATGGGCTGAACGTGCACAACGGTCCCAAAATTTGGGATTTGGGGCTCTCCCAAAGGAGTTTCCGTCAGCTGGAGTATTCCCAGGAGCTCTGGATTTACCCACGGATGAGAGAAGGAGGGGCATTGGTGTGTTTGGTGTTGGTGTTCCCCTTCCCAGAGCTGCTCTGACTGTCCTTCCTTCCTTCCTTCCTTCCTTCCTTCCTTCCTTCCTGCCTTCCTGCCTTCCTGCCTTCCTGCCTTCCCAGTTCAGAGGAAGCCAATTCCCGGTGGATATTCCAGCCTGGAGATGGAATCGAGGTCAAAAGGTGGAGAACGACGGAAGTTCTGCCATCCCAGGCTCAGGACTGAAGTCACTGTCCCATTCCTTGGAGATCCCTCTTTCCAGGACCAGTGGAAGAACGTGGTTTTGTGGGAATGATTTGCGGTGGGCGGGAAAACGCAGGGACCACATTTAGGATTCTCCTCCCTGCAAAGATTTTCATCTCCAAACTCTGGTCCAGGAATCCTCTCCCAGGTCCAGGAGCTCCTGACCTTGGACAATTCCGGCTGTGGCCCCAGATGAGACGTTGGCCTTTGGGAATTCCAGGAGGGAAGGATAGCCCTGCCCCTCTGGCAGCTGGCACAGGTGACAACGTCCTCCCAGGTGGTGCCACCTCCTGCCCACCTCCATCCATCCTCATCCACCTGTCCTTCCAGGCTGGATCAGCCTCCAGATGGAGCAAAGCCCAGTGGGAAAAGCAGGGAAACCTCAGCTTGGGAATTCTTCTGGATGTCCCCACCTGGGCACAGCCACCACATCCTCCCCTGGCAGTGCCACATCCAGGGTCACATCCTTGGACACCTCCAGGTGACATCACATCCTTGCCCAGCAGTGCCACATCCAGTGCTGGCTCTTGGGACACTGCCAGGTGCCACCGTGTCCTTTCTCCAGCAGTGCCACATTGAGAGTCACGTCCTTGGACACCTCTAGGTGCCACCACGTCCTTCCCCAAGGATTTGGGGGATCTCTGGTGCCACGGGGGCTCCCCACGCTCCGCTGGAGCTCCCTCCAGCACATGGAGCAGGGGACAGGTGACCCCACCTTCACTCCTGGTGGCACCAGAGCGGTGACAGCCACTGTGGCTCCCGAGGCTCCTCCTGGGCCGCTCCTGGGAGCGCCAGGCTCCGCCGGTGCCGCGGGGAAGCCGCGGTCCCTGGGAGAGGATTGGCTGCGGGCTCGGGGCCGGGGGGCTCCTAGCCCTTGTCCTGCGCCAGGGGAGCGCCCTTGTCACCCAGGGGCTGTGGGGACAAACGGGGACACGGCTGGATCAGGGGGGACACGGGCTGGAGGGACGGGGACTGGGGGAGGAAGGAATTGCAGGGACAGGGATCAGGGCAAGGGGACAGGGATTGGGGGACAGGGATTGAGGGACAGGGGTTGAGGGTCAGGGACTGGAGGAGGAAGGAATTGCATCTTTCCCCAGCTGTTCCCAGGCTGTCCCCGGGGCTGTCCCCAGACTATCCCCACGCTGTCCCCGCCCTGTCCCCGCCCTGTCCCAGCCTGTCCCCAGCCCCGGCCCGTGCCAGCCCCGTACCCACCGTTCCTTTTGGGGTGCTGCCGTCGGGCTGCAGGCTCAGGAAGGGGTTGGGGGCCATGGCCGGCCCCGAGCCCAGCGGGGGGGTGGCCTGGGGGGCCAGCAGGGCCCCGCCGGGGTTCAGCTGCTGCGGGGACAGGGAGGCCAGCAGGGAGCCCCCGCTGGGCGCGGCCGAGGTCAGCAGCGCGCTGGGGCTGGGGTGCAGTGGGGCCGAGGTGGCAGCCAGCAGGGACAGCTGGGACGAGCCCGACATCTGCAGCCGCTGCAGCTCCCGCTTCTGCTGGATCTGCTGCATCATCTGGAACACCAGTGCCTGCTGCTCCTGCGGGAATGGCCGGGACACAGCTCAGAGTGGGGACAGAGTGGGGATAGAGCGGGGACAGAGCGGGGATAGAGTGGGGACAGAGCACTCTGGCACAAATCCCCCACAGTTCCAACCCATCAATGCAGCAATTTCAAATCTGTGAAATTCACCATCCTGAAATCCCAAACTGGCTCTGAATTCCTTCCTGAATTCCAGGTGAGCAGGCCCTGGGGGAAGCAAAGCAGGCTCAGGGCTCACCTGCATCCCAGGGTACGCCCTGGAATCCAGGAAAACCTCCCTGAAATCTGGGAAAACCGAAGGAATTGCTATGGCAACCACCGACCCTCGAGGCAGCCGGAGCTGCTATTGTCCTGTCCCCGCGGGTGACACGGTGACATCAGCTGCCCTCGGAAATTGGCTTTTTCCGGGATTTAAAAATAGCCTGACCCAGAAATGCATCCAGAGCAGCGGGCTGGGCTCCTGGGTGGAACGGGCACAGCCCAGCCCTGGTGACAGCGCTGGTGGCACTCCCGTGTCCCCCCAGGCAGGGTGGGGACAGCGCCGAGGTCTCTGCAAGGCCAGGGGCTGGGGTTTGTCACCTCAGGGACCTGATTGCCACCTCAGGGACTTGTTTACCACCTCAGGACCTGTTTGCCACTTCAGGGGCCTGTTGCCACCCCACCATCCCCATTCCTGGGACAGGGGGTGCAGGCAGGGAGCCAAGAACCCCAGAGCAGCCACCTTTTGGGGGCCTTTCGGTGACCCCAAAACCCTGAGCCAGCTGCGGAGCCCCCTGGGCACCTCCAGCTCTCTGTGTGGACGTGCCCAGATGCGGCTGAGCTGCCTAGGATTGAAACAACTCAGGTTTTATCTCTCTCTAACCCCCAGCAGGGTCCTTGGCACGTTCTGCCTCTCCTGTGGGCCCAGGACACCTGGGACACCAGGACACCGGGGCCAGTCTGGGATCCAGCAGGATTTGAATCCTGGGATGACTCCAGGAGGGAACGGCTCTCCCAATTCCCCCTTCCCGACTTCCCGGAGCTCCCGCCTTCTCACCCCCTCAGGATGTGGCAAACTCAGACTAAACTCAATTAAACTTCTTTCCTTTGGTACAAAAAGAGTCCAAATCCCACCTCCCCTCCCTGGGAGCTGCCACACCCTGCCTGGAGCTTTGATCCTCGGGATTTGGGATGCTCCCTCATCCCAAATTCCAAAACCAGCTCTGAATTCCCTCACCCAGCCCACAGTGGTTTCAGACTCAAAAGGCTCAGAGGATTCGGGGACAGGAGGGAACCTCCGGTTTTAATTTCAGATTTTCCTCTCTGCTCTGAGCTTTTCCCAGCACCAGCAGCTTCCCCTCCCCTCTGTCCCTTACCGGGTTAAGCGGCTGGGAAGTCAGGAGCTGCTGCAGCTGCTGCAGCTGCTGCTCGTGCTGCTGCAGGACGTGCCGCTGCTGCTCCGTCAGGGGGCTCAGGCTGGCCACGCTGTGGGAACACAGAGAGACACAGCAGCTGAAAAGATTTCCTTCCATGCCCAGCAGCATCCCAGGTGCAGGAGTGAGGGAGGAACGTATTTGTGAGAAGCACATTTGGCAGGAGGTGGGAAACGCCTTGGCTGAGCTCTCCAGCTCTCTGCGGGAACACGCTGCAGGTAAATTCACCAGGGATACACGGATAATTCCACAGCTTGTGAAGGACCAGGGGTCCAATTTAGTGGCTGCTAAAATTCCTGCTGGTCCCCTCCCTGTGGACACAATGCCTGGGATCACCTGGGAACACTGGGCACACTAAGCCAGGCTCCCCCAAGCCAGGCTTGGGGACAGCTCTCCAGAGCAGTCAGCGTGGCCAGAACCGCTCCCTCCCTCACTCCCCGGAGCTGAGCTGGGCTGCAGAGGGCAGCGCCGCCCATCCTCACCTGCTCAGGCTGGTGGAGAGCTGCAGGGCCGGGGCCGCGCTCGGAGGCGGGGCGGGCTGCGCTCCGTTCAGGCTCCCCAGGATCCCGTTGAGCGGCATCTGCTGGGCTCCGGCCAGGCTGCCCAGCAGGCCGTCCACCATGGGCACCGCCGAGAGGCCGTGGCTGCCCCCCGAGGCTCCGGCCAGCCCCCCGCCCGCCGCCCTGGCCAGGCCGTTCACCTGCTGCGCCCCGGGCAGGGGCAGCGAGGCGGGGCTGGGCTGCAGCATGGGCAGGGGCGGGGGGGTGCTGTGGAAGGACAGGGAGGAGCTGCTCCTGCTGGGACAGCCCGAGTGAGGGTCCTGGGGGAGAAACGGACACAGAGCATCGGGCTGGGGCGGCTGCCTGGGGGCAGCTTGGGGTGGGAAGGGGGGAGCTCCGGTGGCTCAAGTGTGAAGGGTCCCAGAACTCAGAGAGGTCCCAGAGCTCGGCTCCAGCCCTGCTGGATGTCCAGCATCACCTGCAGGCGCTCCCACCTGGCGCTCCAGCTCTCAGCTACTCTACCCAGCCCTGGGCGCTGCAGGGAGAGCCTGATCTCTGAGCCTGGGCTAGCAGGATTTAGCAGCTGGCTACCGAGCCCTGGGGCTGCTGCACTGCCCCTGCCCGAGGCCCTGCCCGGCCGCCGGTGGCCGCAGGGGCCGCTGTACCTCAGAGGACGTGGACAGCGAGTTCTCGATGCCGAAGCTGTTCTTGCACGGGGGGCTCTTGCTGATGCTCAGGGAGTCACCGCTGCAGACTGCGAGGGGAGAGGGGCGAGGCAGCAGAGTCAGGGCTGGACCCTGAGGTGGCCGTGGGACAGATCCTGTCCGCTGTGACCCTTCAGCCACCCCCGGGGCACAGGGACACGTCCCTGGATGCCCTCAGCTCCGGTTCCCTCAGCCCCGGTGCCCTCACCATTGGCAGGCAGGATGTACTGGGCCTGGCTGCCTGGGCCGTTGCTGCTGGTGACCACGGGGAAGGGGACGGACAGCTGGACATTGAGCAGCTGCAGCCTCTCCTTCTTGGCCGTCAGCGTCATGATCTGCTCCTGCAGCCGCTGGTTCTCCTTCTGCAGCGAGTGCAGCGCCTTCAGCATCTCCACAACTGCAGGAGGACCGAGGGGGGGCAGGAAAAAATGGCGGGGGGTAAAGGGAGGAAAGAGGAAAGGGGATCACAGGATTCACAATCAAACCCCAGAGCGGGAGGGACCGGCCCCACAGCGCTGCCCCCGCTCCTCTCCCCGGCACACACTGGGGCTTTGTCGCCGCCCAGCTCCGCTGCCCGCGGGCACAATCCCAAAATCCCAGCGGCTCCCACCCCGAGAGCCCCGGGAGCTGCCCCGCCGCCCCCCGGCCGCACTCACTGTTCACCCCGGCCTCGCCGTTGCCCTGCTTCTCCAGGAGCTGCTCGATGTTGGGGGTGGCCTGTGGGACATTGTCCAGCTGCCCGCTGCTGCTGCACGACACGGTCTGGTCGAAGAGGGTCGGCAGGCTGCTGATGGGGGACCTGGGGGGGGCGGGGGCGTCAGGGGGGCCCTGCTGCACTCCCGGCTCCATCCCTGCTCCATTCCTATTGCATTTCTGCTCCATTCCTGTTCCATTCCCTGCTCCCATGGCTCCTCTGCCTGGCCCCGAGTGGCAGCAGCCCCCCGGGCCCTCCCATCGCATCCCATCCGATCCCACACCCCAAGGAGGGCGGCAGGAGCTGTTTCAGTCCCCCCCAGGCTGTGCCCTGTCCCCGCTGTCCCCAGGGACACTCACATGGAGGACAGGCTCTCCTGCGGGGACGTCCCTCGGCAGCCGAAGCCGCAATCTTCCAGGTCGGGCTCTGCGCGGGGACAGGGACAGAGGGCCCGGGGTCAGCGGCGCCCGGTGCCCGGTGAATGCTCGGTGTGTGCCCGGTGTGTGCCCGGTCAGTGCCCGCTGGGGGGCACCGGGCGGTACCGAGCGGCACCAGAACCCAGCAGTCCCGGGAAGTACCGAACCGCACCGAACCGCACCGAACCGCACCGAGCAGCACCGGTACCAAGCCTCACCGAGCAGCCCCGGGCAGCGCCGCACCGAGCAGCGCCGGCCCCGCGCTGCGCAAGGCGGCCCCGCCGGCGCCTCCCCCGGGGAGGAGCCGCTGGCACCGCCTGGCACCTCGGCACGGCAAGGTCACCCCGGCCCCGCTCGGCGCCCGGGCAGGCGGAGCTTTGCAAAGCCTGGAGCCGGTTTTGCCGAAGCCGCCGGGGGATGGGGCCGCAGGGAGGGAGGGACAAATCCCGTGCCAGACCCTGTCCCCGGCCCCCCGGCCCCGGCTGGATCCGGTAATCCCGGGGGATCGGCTGTCACTCTCCAGGGAGTGACAGAATCAGGTTGGAGCAGAGCTTTAAGGTCAGCCGGGATTGAGGATCCTTCCCCCAGAGCCGGCCCGGGTTCCTGTCGATTTCCAGGTGCTCCCTGAGGAGCTTCAAGGGAATCATGGAATGGTTCGGGTTGGAAAAGCCCTCCAAGGTCAGGAGGGCAATCATTAACCCAGCCCAGCCCTATCCCCACTCAGCCTGTGCCCAAGTGCCACATCCACGCGGTTTGGAACACTTCCAGGGATGGGGACTTGTGCCTGACCCCCCTTTCCATGAGGAAATTTCCCCAATATCCAACCCAAACCTCCCCTGGCCCAGCCTGAGGCCATTCCCTCTCCTCCTGTCCCCATTCCCTGGGAGCAGAGCCCAACCCCCCTGGCTGTCTCCTCCTCTCAGGGACTTGTGGAGATCCAGCAGGTCTCTCCTGATCCTTCTTTTCTCCAGGATAAACATTCCCAGCTCACTCAGCCACTCCTGGCACTCCAAACCCTTCCCTGGCCACGCTCCAGTCCCTCCATGTCCTTTTTGGGAGGATCCCAAAACTGCCCCCAGGATCTGAGCTGTGCCCTCAGAAGTGCCCAGCTCAGCTTTGGCATCCAGAACCTTCCTCCAGAGCCATCCCTGTGCCCCAGGAAATCTGGGATGGGGCTGCTGTGCACATGTGCAGGATATCTGCCATTCCAAGGGTAATCCAGGATAAATCCCATATTTATCTTCCCATCCCTGGAACGCTCACTCCCTTTGCCCTGGGCCCTGTCAGATGTGATGGCTCCAGCCTCAGCTGTCTCCCTGCCCCTCCTCTCCTTCCCCACACATTCCCATGTGCAGGAATCCCGGGAATCTCCTGCAGGGAATGCCAGGATTCCCAGCGGGATGCCCAGAACAGGGATTTCCTGCTGCTGCTCGGAATGAGCAAACCCAGCTGGGGCTGGGCAGCTCCTCCAGACAGGGCCAGGGGATCCTGGCTCCCTCATCCCCTTAGGAATGTCCTACTGGGACACTCTTCCAGGCAGGAATAACCCATGTTATATCCATAATTCCTGGATGTGGCTGGAATCTCCCAGTGCAAGATCCTGGAGCAGCTTCCAGTGCTGGAATTGGCTCCAGGAGAGCTGGAGAGGGGTTTGGGACAAGGGAGGGACGGACAAGACATAGGGAATGGGTTTAAACTGGGATAGGGCAGGGATAGATGGGGTTTTGGGAAGGAATTCCTCCCGGTGAGGGTGGGGAGGGGCTGGGATGGAATTCCCAGAGAAACTGTGGCTGATCCATCCCTGGAAGTGTCCCAGGACAGCTTGGAGCACCCTGGGGTAATGGGAGGTGTCCCTGCCCATCTTTAAGGTCCCTTCCAACCCAAACCACGGGCACCCATTCCCCAGGAACACCCAATTCTCCCGGGACATTCATTTTCCAGGGTCAGTCGTTATCCAGGGATCTTCATTCTCCTGGAACACCCAATTATCCAGGGATATCCATTCTCCTGGGCCACCCAGCTATCCTGGGACACGCATCATCATCTAGGGACACTCATTATCCAGGGCCACCCATCATTATCCAGGGCCACTCATTATCCAGGGGCATCCAATTATCCTGGGACAGCTGTTATCATCCAGGGACACCCATTCTCCAGGGACACTCCCGAGGTGCTGCTGGCAAAGACACCATCCCTGTCCCCCCGTGGCAGCCCTGGCTGTCACCCCGAGGGACAGCAGCTGGAAAAGCCGGGACTGCAGTGGTGGCCACCTGTCCTGTCCTGTCCTGGTGGGAGGAATGCCAACCCGGACATACCTGGGAGCTCACGTACCTGCCCGGCTGCTCTCCGGCTGGCTCAGGAGGGGGTTCAGGGACAGCCCGGATGTCAGAGGGCTCCCGAAAATGTGCGAGGAAGGGAGGCTGAAGGTGGAACCCGCCAGGGAAAACACCTGCCCGGAAAGCAGGGAAATATCCTCGTTATTGCAGCTCTTCCCAGCTCCCACGTTAAAAATATCTCCTGGAAGTCTGGCGAGAGGCTTGGCACATTCCCAGAGCTGGCTGGGAGCCAGGAGCCCTGGGAATGGTGTGGATCCAATTGCTCTTCCCAGTGGAAGTGTTCCCAATCCTGAGTATTCCAATTGTCCCCATTCCCAAGTGTTCCCTGTCCCAATTATTCCCATTCCTGAGTGTTCGTTCCCAATCCCGACTGTCCCCAGTCCTGACTGTTCCCTGTCCCGACTGTCCCCATTCCCGACTGTCCCCATTCCCAATTATTCCCTGTCCCGACTGTCCCCATTCCCGACTGTCCCCATTCCCAATTATTCCCTGTCCCGACTGTCCCCATTCCCGCGTGCCCCAGTCCCGAGCCCCGGCCCGTCCCGGGCCTCACCTGCGTGGTGGATCCGGCGGAGGAGGAGGAGGCGGGGAGGGAGCTGGCGAAGGGCGAGCGGCTGAGCTGGGGCAGGGCGGCGCCGCCCTGGTGCGGGAGCAGCCCCGAGGGCAGCGGCGTGCTGCACACCGCCCGCAGCGCCGCGCCCAGCGGGATCGGGTCCTTGTTGCTCGTGTAGATCCCTGCGGGACGGAGATTCCAATTTATCCCGCTAATCCCCAGGGAGAGATCCTGCCTGATCCTGCTTCTCCCGAGGGAGAGGAGATTCCTTCTGATCCTGCTTCTTCCCAGGGAGAGATTCCTTCTGATCCCGCCTCTCCCAAGGGAGAGATTCCTTCTGATCCCGTCTCTTCCCAGGGAGAAATTCCTTCTGATCCTGCCTCTCCCAAGAAGAGATTCCTTTTGATATGGCCTCTCCCAAGGGAGAAGAGATTCCAATTTATCCCACCTCTACCAAGGGAGAGGAGATTCCTCAACTTTTGGGAAGTTGATCCAGGGGAGATTCCAGGGTGAAGGAAGGGGATGTGGATTTTTATGGATTCAGGAGACAGAACCCTGTGCAGCCAGGTCTGGACATGGCTAAATGTGCTGGAAAATTCTGGAAGAGGCTGGAAAAGGGATCTGAGCACACCTGAATCCCTCAAGGGGGGACCCACCTGAGCCCAGCAGCGGCGACTCCATGCTGAGGCTGGGCAGACTCCCGGGGTGGCTGAAGCTCCGGGAAGAATTCCCAACGCTGGAGCTGACAAGGGATCCCCCGGAGAAGGGAGAGGAGGAAGTGGAGGTGGACCCAGCCAGCTGGGCCCCCAAAACCTCTTTGCCTTTGCCCGCCTTGGGCCTGCCGGGGCCGTGCTTGTTCTTCTTGCTGCCCTTGTGCTTCTTCTCCTTGAGCACCTCTCCCTCCTCGGCGCCCAGCGACGGCATCCGCTTGTGGCCGCTCCCGGCGGCGCCAGCCGTGCCACCCGTGCCACCCGCGGGGCCACCAAGGGTGCTGGAGGCTTTGTAGTCCACGGGGGAGGCGTCGCGGGCTCGCGGCTGGCCCACAGCCGAGGTGGAGAAGCGCATGATGGAGCCGAAGCCGGAGAAGATGACCTTCTGCTCAAAGACGTCAGCCTTGGGGCCCTCGGAGAGCGGTGAGCAGTGCGAGGAGGAGCTGGAGCTGGCGGCCTTGCGGAACTTCTCGTCCTCCTGCTCCAGCTTGGGGAAGGGTGCGAAGTCCTGGGAGCCAGGCAGGCCACAGGAGGAGCCTGGGGACACGTGGGGGTCAGCCCGAGGGGCAGGGGAGGGGTCCTGGTGCTTCATCGCTCTCCTCCTCCTCCTCCTCCTCCCTCATCCCTCTGCTTTTCTCCTTCATCCCGTGTCTCCTCTACTTCATCACTCCCTTCTTCTTCCTCCTCCATCCCTCTCCTTTTCTCCATCCCTCCCCTCTTCCTTCCTCTCCTCTCCCATCTCTCCTCTCCCACCTTTTCCCTCTCCCTCCTTCTCCTTTTCCTCCATATTCATCCTTCTCCCTTTGTCCTTCATCCCTCCCCTCTTCCTCCCTCCCCTCTCTCTCCTTTCTTCTCCTTCCTCTCCCTCCTCCTTCTCCTCTTCCTCCTCCTCCATCCCCCTCCTTCCTCCTTCCTCCCTCTCCCTCCCTCTCCTCCTCCTCCTGCCCCTCACCGGCCGTCTGGAAGGTTCCCCCGGCTGGGGCAGATCCGAAGCCTCCGGAGCTTTTCCCACTTCCCGTCTTCTTCCCCTTGTGGCTGCTGCCGTGGCTCGAGGATTTCCTGCCCTTGGCCTCTGCCCTGGCCACCTCTGAGCTCTCCTTGGTGGCCTCGTGGTGGCCACTGGAGCCCTGGGAGGGGACAGACACTGGGGTGACCCCAGGGACCAGAGCTGGCTGCAGCCGGGGCTCTTTTTTCCCCCATTTTCCTGATTTTCTCGTTTTTCCTGAATTTCCCAATTTTCACAATTTCCTCCCTCTGCAGTGGGAATTGCCCCTTCTGCCCACCCAGGGCTGCTCAGCTCAGGTCACTCCTGGCACAAGAGGGACTTTGGGACATCTCCTGCTGCTCGGTGGCACTGGGAATTCCACCCCAGGGATTGGGCTCATCCCAGGGAACCGCAGGGGATTAAAGGGGGAAGGGAGCGGAGTCTCCAGCTCCAAAAACCTCTGGATTTTGGAAACCTCCCAGTTCCATCCAGGATTTCAGATTCCTGCCTCAGGTGTGCTGCTTCCACCACTCCCATCCCACCTGGGGGATTTCCTTGGGAATGGGGTGGGATCAGAGATTCCCTGAGGGAATTTCCTCATCCTTGGGATGGGACTAGAATTTCCCTGGGGAAATTTCCTATGAATTTCCTCATCCTCGGGATGGGACAGGAGATTCCCTGGGATCCCTGCAGCCATCCCAAAGCTCCGGCTGGGAATATTCCCAGGGGTTGGAGCAACACCAGATGTTCCCAAATTCCAGCTGAGCTGCAGGAGCCAGGGGAGACAGGAGGGTGAAGAATGTGGGCAGATGCCAGGAAATCCAGAATTTTGGGAAGAGAGGGAGAATTATGGGAATTCAGCCAGGGGGAAAGAGGGATGAACCCAAACCCAGATCCCTCAAATCCCAATTCCCTTCAAATCCAGAGCCAAGGGCTCCAAATTCACCCATTTTAGGTAACATTACAACCAAAATTAAAAATATTCCTGTAATTATGGGATGGCCCAAAATGTGGGACCTTCCTGACATCCCTGACCCTGACCGAGCCCTCTTTGGGATAAATCCTGGGATCCAAGTCCATCCCTGGATTTAATCCCTCGACAGCTGCAGGCGCCAGATGTACCCGGAATTTGAAGGGATGGGAACGGGGGAATTCCGGGGAGAGAGAATTGGGATTTTCTCCTGCCAGCCCCAGATGTGGGAGTTAAACCCTCCTGGATTTATGGGCTCAGCAGGAGAAATCGTCCTGATTTTTCCTCGGGAAGGGGAGGGGAGAGGGGCCTCGGGTGTGAATGGCCTGGTGAGAATGCCCTTTTCCCAGTTTTCTGGGTGGATTTTCCTGCCCTTTTCCCAGTTTTCTGGGTGGATTTTCCTGCCCTTTTCCCAGTTTTCTAGGTGGACTTTCCTGCCCCTTTTCCCTGGGTTTTTGGGTGCATTTTCCTGGCCTTCCCTATTTTCCTATATGGATTTTCCAGTTCCTTTCCCGTGTTTTTTTGGCTGGATTTCCTGGGTGGATTTTCTTGCTCCTTCTCCCAGTTTTTTGGATGGAATTTCTGGGTGGATTTTCCTGCCCTTTCCCCTGTTTTCTGGGTGGATTTTCCTGCCCCTTTTCCCAGTTTTCTGGTGGATTTTCCCCAGTACCTTCTCGGCAGCCACGGCCACGGGTGCTGGGGGGAGGCTGCTGGGGGACTCCGGCCGCTTTTTGTGCTTCTGCTTCGGCCTCTCCTTGTCCTTGCGGCTCTGGAAAAAAAACCAGGAACCTCTGGAATGCTGGAATTCCCAACACTGGGAAGGGCAGCACCAGATCCCATAAAGAAATTTTAATAAATCCCCATTCCAGCAGTTTTCCAGGAACAGATCCCATAAACAAATCCCTATTCCCATTGTTTTCCAGCACAGATCCCATTAAAAAAAATCCAAATAAATTCCCACAGTACTCCAGCGGCAGATCCCACAAGGAAGTCCAAATAAATCCATATTCCCATTGTTTTGCAGTGGCAGATCCCATAAAGGAATCCCATTGTTTTCCAGCACCTGATCCCATAAACAGATCCTGTGAATTTGGGGAATTCGGGGGATTCTGGGAGTTTTGGGGATTTTCTCACCTTTTTTGGCCTCTCGTGGTGGGACAGGTGCTTCTCCTGGGCCGGGGATGCCGAGCGGCTCCTCCTGCCCGGGAGGAAGGAGCTGCTCCCGGAATGGCGCGAGGTCTTCTGGGGGAAAACAGGAGGGAAATGGGGAAAAAGGGGGGAAAACAGGAAAAAAAAAAAAACAAACAGAGGGAAAAGGGAAAAGGAAAGAGGGGAAAAGGGAAAAAAACAGAGGGAAAAGGAGGAAAATGAGGAAAAAGGGAAGAAAGAGGGAAAAGGGGAAAGAAAAGAGGGAAAGGGGGAAGAAGATGGAAAAGGATGAAAAAAGGAGAAGAGAGAAAAGGGCAAGAAAAATAAATTAAAATTTCCTAAATAAATGAAAGCTCCCTAAATAAACCAAACCCACCAAATAAAATAAAAATTCCTGAAATACATGAAAATTTCCAAAATAAATTAAAAATTCTCTAAATAATTAAATTAAATTAAAAATGCCCTCAAGAAATGAAATTCCCGAAAGAAATGAAATTCCCTGAATAAATAAAAGTTCTCTAAATAATTGGGAAGTCCCAGAATCCCTGGAATTCCTGGATCTCACCATTTTGTTGAAGTGGTATTTGCAGTAGCCGCAGTATTTGACATTGTCGACCTCCAGCACCTCCTCCTCGCACAGGAGCCCAGCCATCTGTGCACTGATCCCAGGAAAAACGGAAAATCCAGGAAAATCCGCAGGAAAGCAGGGAAAAAATGGCAACATTGGTAGGAAAACAGGGGAAACCCGAGAAAATCAGCAGGGAAATGGAGGAGAAAAATGAAAAATCAGCAGGAAAACAAACAAAAAAAAAACACCCCAGGAAAATCCATCAGATTCCACAGGTTCCAACGGAATTCCCGAACTTTGGGAACTTCCCGGAAAAACCTGGAAAAACCTCCTGGGTGAGGAGGAGGAAGGGGCAATTCCGGTCCTAAATAACCCCATGGGGGGGATCAAGGCCAAACCCCAGAGCCCTGAGGGACTGAGCCCCAGAGCCGGGCAGGGAGGGAGCAGCTGGGGGCACATTCCAGAGGCGAATTCCCGGGAATCTCACCAGGTGACGTGGAAGGCCTGGCGGCAGCCGTGCCGGTTGCAGGCCATGCAGGCCCCCGAGGCCGCCTTGCTCTCCCGCCCTTGCTCCTCGCAGATGTAGCAGGTCTGGGAAGGGGGGAAAAAATGGGAAAAAAACCCACATTTTCCAAGAGGAAAAGCCTCCAGGGATTCCCAAACCTCATGGGATGTGTTGGGTCAGGAGGGGTTTTGGAGCTTGGTGAGTTCCAGCCTTTCCCACCTTCCGCTCCTGTGAAGGAATTTCTGGGGAATCGAGGAAATTTTGAGGGATTTCTATGAAAATTCCAGGATACTCCCCGGTGGGACACACAAAACTTCTCCTTTTTCCCCAAAATCCCAACTGTCCCATTGGAACCAACATGGAATTCCATGGATTCCTTTGGTTCCAGTTGTTCCACCATGAAATTCCTCAAATTCCCATTTTCTCCCCCAATACCCATCCAAATATGGAGGATCCAACACAGAATTCCATAGATTCAGTTGGCTCAAGTCGTCCCACCAATAAATTCCTGAAATTCCTGTTTTCTCCCCAAAAATATGGAGGATCCGACAGAGAATTCCATGGATCCAACTGCTTCTCATCGTTCCACAAAGAAATTCCTCAAACTGGGGAAGATAGATGGGGAAGACCAAAAATTTCTTGGCAAATCCAGGGATTTCCTTGGTTTTTAACAGAATCCGAGCAGCTGTGGGGTCGGGACAATCCGGGAAGGAGCCATGGGGAGATGGGATGACCCCGAAATCCCGAAATCCCGGATTTTACCTTGTTGAAGCGGTCGTGGGGGACGTACTGGAGCACGATGGGCTCCATGGTGAGCACGTTGGCAAACTGCACCTCGGGGATGTACAGGGCACACACCACGTGCGCCCAGCCTGGAAAAGGAAGGGAAAATGGGAATTCAGTCCGGGAAACCCCTCCCAAAGAAAAACAATTTCCATGCCAAAAAAATCTTCTGTCCCCAAAAACCCCATGCCGGTTTTGCAGGCAAAAGGAGGAGGGTGGATTTTGGGATTTTCCAGGTGGGAATTCCATGGCTCACCCCCATTGTCCGTGCGCTTCAGGGCTCCATCCTTGTGGGGACACAGCTCGCACCTCTGGAAGGGAGAAAAAACACCACAATTCACCCAATTTCAGTGGTAAAATTCAAATTTCATCAGCTGTAATTGATAAAATTTATATTTAATAAATAAAATTTGTCAGATTTCAGCTATAAAATTCAGATTCCGTCAGCTTTAATTAGGTTTAATTGATGACATTGAAATTTCATCAATAAAATTCAAATTTCACGGATAAAATTGAAACTTAATCAAGAAAATTTGAATTTCAATCCAAAATCAATAAAATTCAAATTTAATAAAAATTAATCAATAAAATTCAAATTTCATCCATTTAATTCCAGGTTTAGGACCAGAAAATCCCCATTTCTGCCCCAAAAAGGAGCTGCTGCCAGAACAGGGCTGTGGGAATGAGGACTGAGGAGGTTTTGGGGGAAAAATGCCTCAAAAAAGCCCTAAAAATGGATTTAAATGCCTGGGGCAAAGTTTTGCTTTTGGGGCTTTTTTAGGGCTGGTTTTAGGGGCTGTGGTTGAGGAGTAAAACCGAAAGCGGCGACTCAGAGTAAAAAAGAAATTGAGTTTTTATCTCTCTCTGCTTCTTACTTCCGCCTCTCGCGAGGGTTTTTTCCTCCGGTTTTCGGGAGAAGTTTTGGTCGTGGTTGAGTTTGGTGTCACCCCAAATCCCGGCTGAGAGGGTGTGGGGTTGTTTTTGGGGTGCCCCAAAATCTGGTGTAGGAAAATCTCCCCTGTGATTTCTTTTTGGGGGTTTTTGAATTTTTAAAAAGGCCCCAAACCCAAAAATCTTGGAAAACCCCAAAAATCTTGGAGAGCTCCATCCATGATTTTTCCCTACTCACCACCCGGGCGGCTCTTTCCTGGGATTCACATTTCCGGCAGAACCAGGGGCCAGTGGGAACCTGGACAATTCCATAACAAGCTGGGGAAAAAGGCAAAAAAACCCCAAATAAAACCCTTTAAAATCCATTTATTTCTGATTTCTCAGGGGTTTAAAAATGTTTGGAGCAGGCTGGAAAGAAACAGGAGGAAAATCAGGGAGAAAAACAGGATTAGCACCAAGAAATCATGGAAAAAAAAGCAAACTAAACAAAATAAAATAAAATAAAAATGTAAAATATGGAGGAAACCATGAGTGGTAAATGGAGGCCTCCAAAAAGGGTTAAGAGCATTTATAAATTGTATTTTCTGCTAATTTTTTACTTTTTTCCCCTTGTTTTGGAGGTTTTCTCCTCTTTGGGACACAATTTTTCATTAAAAATTCAGGATATTCACAGAACTATCTGATGGGAAACAAGAGCTCTATAAAAGAGTTAAGGCCATTAATAATTTCTATTTTCAGCTCATATTCTGCATTTTTTCCTTGTTTTTCCCTGTTTTCCCCTGGCAGCCCCCACTGGCTCCAGCTGAGCTCGTTCTTGGCGCTCAGCCCGGGCTAAAGATGGACCCGGGGCTTCCCGGGAATTTCACTCTGCCTGTTTACTTCCCACTTTTTTACCCTGGTTTACCCCATTTTCCCCTGCTTTCCCCCTGTTTTTCCCCATTTTTCCCTGTTTTTCCCCATTTTCCCCTGTTTTTTCCGTTTCCTCCTCTATTTTCTCCCTGTTTATTTCCTGTTTTCTTCCCTGTTTTTCTCTGTGTTTTCCCTGTTTACTTCCTGGGTTTTTTTCCCTGTTTTCCCTGGGATTTTCCTTTATTTCTCCCTATTTTTCTCCCTGCTTTCCCTGTTTATTTCCTTTTTTTTTTTTTTTTTTTTTTTTGCCCATGCAGGATGAGCCTCCAGGGTTCCTTTTTGGGGTTTGAGTTATTTGGGGAGTAAAAACCTCCCCAAAGCCACAGGGGCTGGGCCGAGCTCCAAAAGGGGAATCACCACATCCTGCAGGGCCCCCAAAAACCCCAAATAAACTCCTTGAGCTTCCCACAGGCACAGACCGAGGCTCAGACCAGGCTCGGAGACTTTTCCTGACCCTCTGGAGCTGCTCCTGCACTTCTGAAACTCTTCTTGAAAATCTGAAACTTTTCCTGAAAATCTGAAACTCTCCCTGATGTTCTGAAACTGTTTTTGAAAATCTGATACTGTTCCTGACCTTTAAAAGCTGTTATTGAATATTTGGAACTCAACCCAACCCTCTGGAACTGCTCCTGATCCCTAAAAACTGTTCCTGACCCCCTGAAATTCCTCCTGTGCCTCTGGAACTCTTCTTGAAAATCTGAAACTGTTCCTGATCCTCTGGAGCTGCTCCTGCACTTCTGAAATTCTTCTTGAAAACCCAAAACTCTTCTTGACCGTCTTGATCTGGTTTTGAAAATCCCAAACTCTTCCTGATGCTCTAGAACAGTTCTTGAAAATCTGAAACTGCTCCTGACCCTTAAAAATTGTTCCTGACCCTCTGGAACTTCTTCTGTGCTTCTAAAACTCTTCCTGAGAATCCAAAACTGTTCCTGATGCTCTGGAACTGTTATTGAAAATCTGAACCTGTTCCTGCCCCTCTGGATCTGGTTTGGAAAATCCAAAACTCTTCCTGAGACTCTGGAACAGCTCTTGCCTCTCTCAAACTGTTCCTGACCCTTAAAAACTGTTCCTGACCCTCTGGAGCTGTTCTGGACACAGGGACAGGGACAGGGCTGGACCCACAGACAGAGCCAGACCCACAGACACCCAGAACCAGAAGCAAGCACAGGGAACGGACGAGAGCGAGCAGGAGGAGCTGGAGATGCACCGGGACAGGAATGGGATAAAAACAACAACCGGGACAGGGATGGGCAAACAACAACCGGGAAATTGATGGGATAAAACAACAACTGGGAAACTGACAGGCTAAAACAACAACCGGGACAGTAACGGGATAACATCAGCGGGAAAACAGTGCGGCCCCGGCAGCCCGGAATCCTGGGCGCATTCCAACCAAACCGAGCAGGGATCGCCACTCCTCCGCTGCCTCGAATACCGATTTTAATCCGGATTTGTTTTGTTCACCGAGCCGAGGACAAACTTTCCGGGCCCGCTACCGTGAGCTGGGGGCGGGCCCGGAGTCATTTAAAATGCAAATCGCCCGTGTCACCGGGAGCAGCGGGCGGAGGAGGCGGAGGAGGCGGAGGAGGAGGAGGAGGAGGAGGAGGAGGGCTGCCTTCCTCCCTCCCTACCCTCGCAGGAGGCAGCTCCGGGCCCCGCGCCCCCTCCGGAGCTTCCCCGCGGCCCCCCCGACACCCCCGGGCCGGGCCGGGGGCGGCAGCGCCTCCTCCCTCCCTTCCCCTCCCCGCTAAACCGGGGGGGCACCGGAGAAATCGCCCCGCTCGCCACCCCCGGGGGGCTCCGCGGCTGCCCCAACTCGACCCCCGCCGTGTCCCCCCCTCCGCGGCCGCGCCACCTCGGCGGCGACACCGTTATTTGGAACAATAGCGCTAAAACAAAGCGCGCCCCCCCCCGCCGCCGCCGCCGCCCCCATCCTCACCCCGCCCCGTCCCCGGGGGGTTTCGGGGGGCTCGGGGAGGGGCTCGGGGGGGCCGTGCCGGGCTCACCTTGGTGCACGGCCACATTGCAGCCGTGGCCGTCGCAGTAGACGAGCGGGTTCTCCGCCCAGCCGCGCTCGTCGGAACACACACAGCAGCCTCCCACCATCTCCTTCATACTTCCAGGAGGGTTTCCTGCCCCCCCGCCTCCCTCTGCGCGCTCCTCCTCCTCCTCCTCCTCCTCCTCCTCCTCCTCCTCCGTGCTGCCCCCTCCCCGCCTCTCCCGGGGGGACCGCCGGGGGAGACGGCGGGGACAGCGAGAAGCCACAAGAGCGGGCGGGGCGAGGCGCTGATGAAGGGACCGGGGGACAGCGCGGGGACAGCGCGGGGACAGCGCGGGGGTTGGCGGATGTGGCTCCGCGCCACGCAGGTCCCCCCCCCCCCCTTTCTATCTGTCCCCCCCGCTTTCTGCTCGTCCCCCCCGTTTATTGCCGTCCCCCCCGTTTATCCCGGTCCCCCCGCCTGTCCCCGTCCCCCCCGGTTCGTCCCCATCCCTCCCAGTTTGTCCCAGTCCCCCCCAGTTTGTCCCCGTGTCCCCGTCCCCCCCTCCCGGTACAATCATGGCGGCGCCGCCCGCACGCTCCGGTAAAATTTGCGGTTCACGGATCTCGGCGCGGCCGGGCGGGCGGGTTTGCGCGCGGGTGATATTTTGGCTTTTTGGGGGGTTTTTTGACCCTTCACCAACGCTTTGGGATGAGGATTTTGGGGTTTTTCCCCCTCCAGCCCCCGTTGCCCGGCTGGCATCGCGCTGCGGGCTCGTTCCCGATGGAGCGCTCCGCAGAGATGAGCCGACAGCGCTCCGTAAATCCCATTATCCCGAAATTCCCGGATCCCGGCTCCGCCAGCGCCACCGGCTGTCCTGGCCCGAGACTCCTCTGGAAACGGGATTTAACCCCTTGGCACCTTGGGAAAGAGGATAAATGTTCCTTCCCCCCTCGGGGGTTTGCGCGCGGCAGGAAGAGTGGTGGGAATCAGCGGGAAAACAGGGAAATGATCCTGGAATATCGGGAATATTTATTTATGAGATTGTATGAGCAGGGAATGTGAAGAGAAAGGATCTTGAAATATTGGGAATATTTATTTATGGGATTGCACCTGTATGAAAGGAGTAGAGAAAAAATATCCTGAAATATTGGGAATATTTATTTAGGGGATTACACCTGCTGGGAATGAGTGAAAAGATCCTAAATATTTGGAATATTTCTTTTCTGGGCTCTTTTATTCCCCCCACCCCTTGTACTCCTGGAGAGTTTTGGGATGGATTTCCTGGCACAACATTCTACCCAAACACTCCAATCCCAAATCAGCCACAATTCCTGAGGATTTTTAGGGTTTTCCCACCATTCTGATCATCCTTCCTGCTCTGAATATTCCATAATGTTACCATTTTCAACCTAAATAACATCATGAGCCTTCTTTTCCTCATCCCAAAAACCTCTGGAATCTTGGCCTGGCCCATCCTGGAATTTCTTTCAACCCAAACCCCAAAATTCTGGGGTTTTTTTACCCTTTTTGAGAACCCCTCAAGCACTTCACCCACGATTTTCCCTTTATCCCAATCCCTGAAAATCCCTGCAGGGGCGGGAATTCACTCAGCCTGAACTCCCTTTTTTCCAAGGATTCTCCCTGTATTTTCCCCCCTTTTTTTTCCCCCTTTTCCTTTTATCTTTTGTGTTTAAGGAATTCTGGCCTTTGTATCCTGGAGACTTGGAATTGTCCCAGGATCAGATTCGGGATTTCCTCCCTTCCCTTGCCCACGGAGATCCTCGGACTTGAACTTTGAAAGGATTATAATTCCCATTAAATTCCTATTAAATTCCCATTAAATTCCCATGTCTGCTGCCTCTTGCCCAGTGCCCAATGCCCAGTGACCACTCTGCCCACCGTGCTGTGGCCAGTACCCAGTACCTGGTGCCCAACCCCTCCTGCCTGGTGTCCAGTCCCCACTGCCCTGTGCCCTGTGCCCATTGCCCTGTGCCCTGTGCCCACTGCCCGGTGCCCGGTGCCCATTGCCCTGTGCCCATTGCCCTGTGCCCGTTTCCCGGTGCCCTGTGCCCACTGCCCGGTGCCCGGTGCCCGGTGCCCGTTTCCCACTGCCCGGTGCCCGGTGCCCGGTGCCCTGTGCCCGTTTCCCGGTGCCCTGTGCCCATTGCCCTGTGCCCGGTGCCCGTTTCCCGGGGCCCGGTGCCTGCTGTGCACGGGGCGGGCCCGGGGCGGCGGCGGGGGCGGGCAGGAAGCGCCCGCGGCCCCTCGGGCTCGGAGCCGCATCCGGCCCGGGGCTGCGGGGGCGCAGGAAACGGGAAGGGGAACGGGGAGAGGGGGGAGTGGGGGAGGGAGGGAGGGCGGGGGGGAGAGGGGAGAGAGGAGCGGCCCCGGGCAGTGGAGGGACACAGGGGAACCTCCAAGGGGCACATCTGGACCCTCACCCTCCATCCCTCCATCCGTCCATCCATCCATCCATGGATTCCATCCCTCCTCTCTCAGGACAAGTTGGAGATTCGGGATTCTGCAGCCTGGCAAGGAGAAGCTCCAGGGACACCCTGGAGCCTTTCCAGGGCCTCAAGGAGCTCCGGGAGAGCTGGAGAGGGGACAGGAGACAGGGATGGAGGGACAGGACACAGGGAATGGCTTCCACTGGGGCAGGGCAGAGATGGACGGGATTTGGGGCAGGAGTTCCTGGCTGGGATGGAATTCCCAAAGCAGCTGTGGCTGCTCCATCCCTGGATGTGTCCCCGGCCAGGTGTGACAGGGTTTGGGCCATCCTGGGCCATGGGGAGGTGGCCCTGCCGTGGCGGGGGTGGCACTGGAGGGAATTTCAGGTCCCGTCCCACCCAAACCATCCAGGATCCCTCAGTTCCTCAGATCCAGAAAATTCTCAACTCGGAGCCCTCCGAAAGCCCTGAGGGACCAGCAGGAGGGGACAGGCTGGGGACAAGGTGGGACAGGTTTCCCATGAGTTGGAATTTCCCACCCCCCCCCAGTTGCTCATTAGGAGTTTTGGGGCTGTGACCCGGGAATTAATCACTGCTGAGTGATTAATTGATTAATTAATTAATTAATTAATCACGACTAGGCCCTTGGCAGACAAAAAGCAGCAAAATTCTGGCACCTTTGAGGTTTCCCCCCAAAATTATGTGGAAGAAGTCACCGGCACTGCTCCAGCATGGATCAGAACAAACTAATGAGTCATTAATGAGTAATTAATGAGTGACACCAATCAGCTCAACCCTGACTCACATCTGTCCCGAGGCTGAAATATATTTTGGAGCTTTGCAAGTCCCAGGAATGGGAAATTTTGATGAAACTGCCCAAAATGGGTGTGAAGGGGTTTGGGATGGGTTTGAGGATTCCCCAGAGGAGCTAAAACCAGCTCTAATTAAGCTTCACATTAATTTAATGAGTGGATAAATGGAAGCCATTGGTCCCGAGCAGGGTGTGGAGCAGTTGTGGCCCTGCTCTGCAGATTTTTGGGGTGATTTCCTAATTTAGACAAACCCTCCCCGCTCTCCCCTTCCTCCGCTCCGCCCTGCCTTGGTGGCAGCGGTGACACCAAAATAGCGGCGGGACCTGAAACTGAAACCGAGATTAGCGGCACCAAAGCTCCGCTTAAAGGGATCTGTCCAGGGTCCGCTCTGCCGGGATGGATTTGGGGGTTCTGGGGGCGTTTTCTCCTTTTCTGCTGCTGAGTTGTGGTGTTGGGGTGGGGGCGTTTCCCCCTGGAGGGTTCTGTCACTTCGGTAACCTCAGGTGTCTTCGCCAAATTTTAAAACAAATAAATTTATTTATTTCATTTCCTTCCCAAATAAAGGATGTGAAGTGGCATATCCCTGAATCCTGGGACAGGGAATGTTTATTTATGGGGCTGCACCTACAGGAAAGGAGTAGAGAGAAATTATCCTGAAATATTTTGAATATTTATTTGTGGGATTACACCTTCAGGGAATGAGTGAATTGGAATAATTCTGAAATATTGGGAAAATTTTTCTTTGGGATTGCACCTTGCAGATCCCAAAATCTGTGTCACCCTTGGGATATCCCAGGAAACTCCCCTTGCCTTGGACCCAGAACAAAACCCAGGAGCAGTTTCCTGGCCGCATTCCTCTTTTTCTTGGGAACAAGATAAATAGGATAAATTCTAATTTATCGGGAATTAGAAATTCCCCCGGGAATTCCATTCCAGCCCTTCGGGCCGGAGGATTCCCCCGGAATCCAGGGAGCGCCGCTGGGCAGGCAGCTGGGGACCTCTGCTGGGAGAAGCTTAAAAATGCCCTTTTTTCCCCCAAAATCGCGTCTGGGCGGGCGGTGGGAGGGCGCCCTGCGGAGGGCGGCAGCAGCGCGGGTGTGCCCACAGCCCCCGGGGCACCGGGAGAGCGTCCGGTCCCCGGGTCCGCAGGGGAAGGGAGGAACCTCCCAGACCTGGGAATAACCCGGGAGACCGAGCTGCCCCTACAGCTCATCCCAGCGGGATCCTGGTCCTGGAGCTCATCCCAGTGGGACCCTGGTCCTGGAGCTCATCCCAGCGGGATCCTGGTCCTGGAGCTCATCCCAGTGGGATACTGGTCCTGGAGCTGATCCCACTGGGATCCTGGTCCTGGAGCTGATCCCAGCGGGATCCTGGTCCTGGAGCTCATCCCACTGGGATCCTGGTCCTGGAGCTCATCCCAGTGGGACCCTGGTCCTGGAGCTCATCCCAGCGGGATCCTGGTCCTGGAGCTCATCCCAGTGGGATACTGGTCCTGGAGCTCATCCCAGCGGGACGCTCATCCTGGAGCTCATCCCAGCGGGATCCTGGTCCTGGAGCTCATCCCAATGGGATCCTGGTCCTGGAGCTCATCCCAGCGGGATCCTGGTCCTGGAGCTCATCCCAGCGGGATCCTGGTCCTGGAGCTCATCCCAATGGGATCCTGCTCCTACAGCTGATCCCACTGGGATCCTGCCGTTCATTCCTTTGGGATCACCATCCCACTGCTCATCCCGGATCCCCAATCCTCACCACATCCCATTGGGATTCCCATCCTGCAGCTCATCCCTCTGGGATCATCATTCCCCAGGATTCCCATTCCCCACCACATCCCATTGGAATTCCCATCCTGCAGCTCATCCCTTTGGGATCATCACTCCCTGCACCTCATCCCTTTGGGATCATCATCCCACAGCTCATCCCAGATCCCCATTCCTCACCTCATCCCATTGGGATTCCCATCCTGGAGCTCACCCCAATGGGATCCTGCAGCTCCTGCCTTTGGGATCATCATTCTGCAGCTCATCCCAGATTCCCATTCCCACAGCTCATCCCGATCCCTCCCTCCCTGCATCCCAGACTGGAGCTGGGAATTCCCTCGAAAAAAGGGGAATTTTTAATTTAAAAAAAAAAAAAGAAAAATTAACCCAGAGCAATGGGAATTTTTAATTCAAACATGGGAATTTTAAACTCAAAGAAATGGGAATTTTTAATCCAAAGGAATGAGATTTTTTTACCCCAAAGGAATGGGAATTTCCACTCCAGAGGAGCAAAGTTGGGGTTTTCCATTATTTTTCCCATCTTTGTTTTGCTTTCCTCCAACCCCAACCAAAAATGAACACAAGAATGGACTTTATGACCAAAAAAATCCAATCTTTTTCTCCTTTCTCCCACTTAATGAAAATTCCCCTCCCTTTGGCTCTCCTGGAAGTGAAATTTTACCCCCAAACCACCCCAGATTTGCTGATTTTCACCCCAAACCAAGCGATTCCAGGCCAAAAATTGTATTTTCTTTTATTTTTAAATTTATATTTCTTTTATTATGTTTATTTCCACTGCCACTCCATCCCCCTCACTCTATCTCTTATTTAAAGTTTTTTTTTTTTTTTTTATTCTTTGGTAGCTTAAATCCCCTTAAACACCTCAAAACCAAAGCAAGAATTATCATAATTAACATCAGGATGATAATTCTTATTTTCATGATTATTGTTGGGCAATTCTGCTGCTCCAGGTGCCTTTTTAATGAAAATTTTGAGGTATTTTGAATTTTTTCTCAGCCCCCCAAATATTTACAGAACATTTACAGAGAATTTATTGAGATTTACAGAATATTTACAAATACTCACAATTATTTACATCCCAACCCCATGCACGAGCAGAGAAATGAAGAAAATCTCTGCCCAAAATGTGAATTTTTAATAGAAAAAGTGATTTTTAGCCGTATTTACACCGGGATAAAAATCTGGGCCACTCCCCCCGCAATTCCCGAGGTGATTTTATCCCTTGGAAAAATATTCCTGAGTTTTTCTGGGGGGGAGCTGAGGGGCCTGGAGGTTGCTGGATTTAAATATTTATATTTATATATTTATATTTATACTCATATAGGATTCTTAATATATTTATATGATTTGTAATATATATTTCTATTATTTTTATAGGATTATAAATATAAATATAAATATTCATTCCCAGCGTGCATCCCGGGATTTTTTTTCCAACCCCACCCTCAAATTATTTTAAAATCCTTTTTTTTTTTTTAATAGAATATACATTTTTAACCCCACCCGAAATTCCATGGGGATTCCATGGAAAACCTCCCCTAAAATCCGCTTTTCTCACCACGTTTTCGTGTTGTTTGGGGGATTTTTTTGGGGAATAACTGCTCGAAAATCCCAATATTTTGCCGAGGGAATTTTCCCGCTACTCTGCTCAGCGGGAGGGGGCGAAATAAACAACAAAAAAAAACCCGATTTAACAAAAAAAAAAAACCGCTGAAAACCCAAATTAAACAAACACCGCTTTTAGCACCAATTCGCCACTTCCAGAGAAAACGGCGCCCAGCAGATCCCAAACATTCCCGGCATTTAAAATCCCTTTCCCTCCCCCCGGCCCTTTCTTTTCCTTATTTTTTAAGGCGCTGATGGAATTTAAAAATGAAATTTAAAATAGGAATAAATCAAGCAGGCCTCGTGCGAAGATATTCCTTTCAATCATTCCCTTTTCCCGCGCAGCGATTTTTAATTTTGAAATTTTTTTTTTTGTTTTCGGGCCTAAATTTTGCAGAGAAAAGTAAGAATTTTCCAAGCGGGACCCCCGGAAAGAGCCGGGAATTTTTTTTTTCTCCTGGAAAAAAAAAAAAATTAGCTCAGGAAATTAAAAAAAAAAAAAAACCCAAAACAAACAACAAACAACAAAGAGCCCCAAAATAGCTTTGATTTTTTGGGTTTTTTAAGTTCCCAAAGCAGAGATTTGGGGGCCTTGATGGGCTGGAAATCCCATCGGGAATTTCCAAAGGTTTGGAAAAGTTCAAGCAGGGGAGGGAGGGAAATTCCAGCGAGGATCAAATCCTTTCATTCCCGATTTTCCCGGATTTTCTTCCCGGGATTCAAACCTTTTCCAGGGATGATTATCCCACAAATTCCTCACTTTTTACCCCTTTTCCACCACTTTTTAAAAAGATTCTTTAGATTTCCATGGAGCAGCTTCAAGTCACTCCCTCTCCACCTCTCGTGCTCTCTCCCAACCTCCCGAAATTCCCGATTTTTTTTTAAGTTGGCGTTTCCTCCCTGCCCCTCTACCAAGAACACCCCGCTGGAAAACCGGGATTTTCCGGAATTTCCACATTTTCCCCGGGATCCACTGGGCCCTGAAAGGAACGGGAGTTTTCCCTTTCCTGCGTGGGATTTTTATTGTTTTGATCCAATTTTTATGGAGGAAAAAGGAGAAACGAGTCTGGGGTTTGGGACTTGTTTGGTTTTTTGGAGTAGGGTCGGGAGGTCAGGGCGGCGGGAGCTCCTTCATTCCCAGCTCATTCCCAGCTCATTCCCAGCTCATTCCCAGCTCATTCCCAGCAGCCGCCTCATCCCTAAATCCCTTTCCTGGGAATCGCCTCCCTCGTTTCCAGAGGCGCGCGGAGTTTTTGGGAAATTATTTTATGTTTCTTCGCGCGCTTTAACCTCACCCTAAAACTCCTCCCAAACCCAACATCCCGCAGCGCCCGCGGCCCCAAATCGACCCAAACCAGCTCCAAATTAGCCTCAAATCGGACCCAAATCGTCCCGAAATCAGGCCAAAATCTGCCCCAAATGAGCCCCAAGTCGGACCCAAACCAGCCCCATATCAGCTCCAAATCGGACCCGAATCAGCTCCAAATAGGCCCCAAATCAGACCCAAATCGAGCCAAAATCAGCCCCAAATGGCCCCAAATCAGCCCCAAATCCCCGCGCGGCTCCTCCGGGCAGCCCCTTCCCCACGCGGGGCTGGGGCGGCCCCGCTCCCATCCCGGGCACCTCCCGCGCTCCTGGGATTTGTCCTGCGCTGCTCAGGGATCCTCCAGGCTGGCGCAGCCGCGGAATTTGAGGCTGGGGGGCACGGGGATGGCGCTGCCGCCCAGGTGCCACCGCCACAGCGGGTGCGTCTTGGACAGCGCCCAGGAGTTTTTGCCGCCCAGCGACGAGGCCGGGCACAGGTCCCCGTCCTCGCCCACCACCAGCGAGGGCGTGCAGGGGAAGTTGCCCATCAGGCTGAAGGAATTCCGAGGCGGGCTGGCCTTGCAGGGAGCGTTTCCCTTCCTGGAATTCCTGCGGGGAGTTTTTGGCGGCCTGGCTTTGGAGGGGCCGCGCTGCCTCTCGGTGACCCTGGCCAGGCGCCGCCGTTTGGCGCTGCCGTCCTGGCGGCTCCGCAGCGCCGCGGGGCTCCCGGTTCCTCCGCGGGGTTGGAACCGCAGCTCCGCTCCCCTCCAGGGCTCCGGGCTGCCCCGGCCCTGCCGCAAACCTTTCCCGTCCACGTTGAATCCCTTGGCGTAGCACCACAGCTTGGACTGGCGGATCAAGCGGTCGAAATGCTCCGGCCGGGGCTCGCCGAGGGCAGCGGGGCTCGCCCGCAGCTCCGGGGCCGGTTCGGGGGAAGGTGCCGGCCCCGGGGAGGCTCCGCTGGGCCGCTCTAACGAGGAGCTTTTGTTCGAGGCGTCTTTGTGCAAATCCTTCCCGCCGGCGTCCCCAAAGCCGCGCTCCTTTTGTGGCGGGGCCCCCCCGGGGATGCTGCTGCTCGGGGAGGGAGGGGGCGAGGAGGAGGAGGAGGAGGAGGAGGAGGAAGAGGAGGAAGAGGAAGAGGAGGAGGAGGAGGAGGCAGGGGAGGCCTCGTGCCTCGCGTACAGCCCCGGCTGAGCCCCCGGCGCTGCGGCCGCGCTCAAACTTTCCAAAGTTGACGCTCGCAGGGTGCGGGCCCAGAGGTGCTGCGAGAGGAAGAGGAGCTCGGGGTCGGGGCGCAGCGCCTTGCTCGGGGGGGGCTCCGCCGGCCGCTCCTCCCCGAGCGGCTCCCGGGGGGCCTGGAAGCGGGGCAGGGCCGCCTGCCGGTACCGCGTGCTCTGCACCGAGTCCCCGCTGCACAGCGAGCTGCTCTCCGACTCCGAGGAGCTGCCCTCCTCGCTGCTGCACGAGCTGTCCCCTTCCTCCTCTTCCTCCTCCTCTTCCTCCTCCTCCTCCTCCGAGGAGTCGCTGGAGGTGGCGGGGCTGGACGCGGCGAGGTCCAGGCTGGAGTCCGAGTCGCTGGAGTAGCCGGCGGACGTGCCCTGGCGCTTGGAGGCGGGGAAGCCGCGGCACCGGCCCTTCCTGGCGGCCGCGGGCCCCGCTCCGAGCGGGAGGAGCCCCCGGGGGCGGCCCGGGGCCCGCCGGTGCCGGCCCGCGGGCCCTGGGAGCGCGCAGGGCTGCGCGGCCGCGGGGCCCAGCAGCGCCAGCTCTCGGGGGCAGCCGGCCAGGACCCCCCCAAAGAGCCCCCCCCGGGCGGGCTGGAGCTGCTGCGGGCCGGGGGCCGGCATGGCCCGGCCGGGGGCACCGCAGCAGCCGCCGGCTCTGCAGGGCGGGGGCCGCGGGCAGGGGAAGAACTCCCCGGGGCCCGGCAGCAGCAGCTGCTCCCTTCTCCTGCTCTTCCTCCTCCTTTTCCTGCGGCGGAGGCTCTTGCAGGAGGTGCAGAGAGCCTCCAGGTCCGCCTTGGAGATGAGCGAGCACTTCACGGCGCGCGTGGGCACCGAGTTGATGGCCTTGAGGGTCCGCAGCTCGGCCAGGTCGCAGCGACGGCTCTTGATCTTTAAGGTTTCCATCTTCTTGCTGATGGTGGTCCTGGGGATGTCCTTGAACAGGTCGCTGAGCACCTGGGCCAGCGCGAACATCTGGGTGCCGTTGATCTGTAAGTAGCCCAAGTTGATGCCTTCGATCTGTTGGTAGCCGGCGTGGAAATGGCCCGGCCGGGCTGGCACGCTGTAGTCCATGGTGGCCGGAGCGATCCCCAAGGTCCCCTCGCAGGTCAGGAACATTTTTCCGAGGTTGTTTTTTGCTGCTTTTTTCACTTTGTCCCTCTCAAAGAGGGGCAGGGAAAATCAGGAAAATCAGGACATTTGTGTTTCCACTCGCTGATCACACACATCCCTCCAGAGAGGGGCCAGAGGGGGAGGGGAGGTGAAAAAAAACAAGGAAAAGAGGGGAAAAAAAACCCAAAAAAACCCCAAAAAATCCGATCTCGCTTTCAAACGCTCCGGTTGAGGATTGGCAACATCTCCCGAACACCCAATTCCTGCTCCGGGGCTCGGCTCCTCGTCTGCCCCCTCCCCGGCGAGGAAAAAAAAGAGAAAAAAATTAAGAAGTCAAACATCTCTCATCGCCCGGGCCGGCCCCGCACCCACCTCCGCCTCCCAAATAATCCCTTTTTTGGGGGGGGGGGGGGGATCGGTGTAAATCACCCGAGAGCCGGAGCGGACAAAGCTCGGGGGGCGCGGGGGGGTCCCGCGTTCCCTCCGGGGACACCCCCGGGAACGCCCCCGGCTCCATCGGGTGTCCCCGAACCCCAAATTTCCCCCGCGCCCCCTCCCCAAACCCCGCGCACACAATGGGGACCCCCCCGCACCGCGGTTCCCCCCTCGAAAAGCCCCAAATAAAATCCCCAAATCACCGTGGTTCCGAGGTGGCGGCAGCGCGGGCGCCTCCGCTTTGTTTCCGCGGTTTAAATGGATTTTTCGATGGTTTTTTGGGTTGGTTGAAGAGGTCGCTGCGCCTTCCCAAATGTGGATTCCTCTGGGATGGGTGTGTGGAGGAATATTTTTAATAAAGCGTGAAAAATGTTCCTTCTAGGCGGCTTGTTCGAAGTCATCGCCTCGGCCACAATTCATCCTGCAGCTTATTAATTAATTGCTAATTAATTGCATTTATTAGCTGGCGTCCACAGTAACAGCGGTGGAGAAAAAGAGAGTTCGGAGAGAGTTGTATTCTTCTTTTTTTTCCCTTTTTTTTTTTTACTCGCACATCGTCTTTATTCACTTCGTGTCTTTTTTTTTTCCATTCGAATTCTTTGTTAAAAGGGAAAAAAAAAGGTAAAAAGAAAAAAAAAAACAGGAGAAAAAAAAGAAAAAAAAAGGAAAATAAAAATTTGGAAAAAATACCCCAAAAAAGGAAAAAAAAGAAGAAAAATAAAATTAGGGAGGGGAAAATAAATTTTTAAAATGGGAAATAATAGAGGAATAAAAAGGGAATTCTCTCTCACACCTCGGAGCTGCTAAACTTTATTTCCAACTTTAAATCCCAAGGTTCCTTTGGTGTTTAGCAACTCTCCCGCGGTGCTTTCCCAAAAAAAAAAAAACCAAAAAAAAACCACAACAAAAAAAACCCCACAAAAAATCCCGAAAAGAAAAGAAACCCAAACAAAAATCCCTACAAAAACCCCAGGCTGCAGATTCCTCTTTGCAAAAGGGGGGGGAAATGGGAAAAAATAATTTAAAAATTCCGATTTTATGCGCTGGGCTCCATTGTGGCGGGTCCCTCCGAACCTGAGGCCGCTGGAGCGGGGTCTGAGCTCCTGCTCAGGAGGCGAATTTTGGGGAAACTGTTCCCAGGGAAACCTTCCCGGGGGCAGGGAAGCGGCGGCTCCGCTCCCTCCCCAGCCCCTTTTTTGTCTCCCGCATGAAAAGTTGGGTTTGTTCTTCTCCTTCTGGGTTTTGGTTTTTTTTTTTTTGGGGGGGTTGTTTGGGTTTTTTTTTTTTTTAATTTTAATCCGAAATTTGATGATAATGATTTGTTGGAGCACGAGAGATCCCAAATTAGCAACGATCCCAGAGGAGGAGGAGGAGGAGGAGGAAAAGAGGAGGAGGAGGAAAAGAGGAGGAGGAAGCGCATTCCTGAGCGAGCGTGTAAAAAAAGAAAATTTAAAAAAAAAATTTAAAATAACTCCAATCCGCAAGCGGGGATCACCTGATCGCTTTTCCCGCTGATCCCAAAGGGATCCCTGCGGGATCTCCCCCTTTTTCCAGCACCCATGGGTGCTCCCCTGCACCAAAAAAATCCCAATTTTCCACCCCAATCCCCCACATTTCCCCCCCCCCGGTTTCGCACAGGAGAGAATTTCCTGAAGGGAATTTTCCAACAAAAATCCCCCAAATCCCTCTTTGTTCGGGAAAAGGGGTTTGGGGGCCACCGAAATGAAAAATTCCCCAAATTTTCAGCGGCGCTGGAGCTTTTCTGGGAATCCTGGGGTTAAATTCCCTTTTCCACACGGAGCCAGAGCCATTTTACCTTTGGGCTGAGCTCGGCCGGGAGGGAGGAGCGGAGCGGGGAGGAAATTTCAGGAATTCTGCCCCTCCCAGGGGATCCCGAAAGGCTCTGGGAAAACCCCAAATCCCAGGGAATTTTCCCCAAAATCGCGAGGGGGGACCTGGGGGAGCAGCCGGAGCCCCCCGAGCGGAAGGGGGCTGGGGGATGCGTGCAGACGTCATTTCCCAGGGAATCTGGGAGCGCCAGGAGGGGATTTTTTGGGAAAAGGGCGAAATTCCACTCGGGATTCCACGTGGGGTGTGTCTGTAGGGACGCGGTTTGAGACATGGAAATGCTTTCTATTTATAAATATATTTATTTTTAATTCATGTATTCTATTTATATTGCAGTGGGCAGGGCACAGGCGGGAGGCGCTTCCCGAATAAACTCATTTTTATCCCAAATAAACTCATTTTAATCCCAAATAAACTGGTTTTTATCCCAAATAAACTTGTTTTTTATCCCAAATAAACTCATTTTAATATCAAATAAACTCATTTTATCTCAAATTCCTGGCGTTGCTGCCCCAGGTCCCCTCCGTGTCCCCTGCCCCTCCCGTTATCAATGCACGGCTCACTCTTGGCTGGGGTTTTTTGCTCTTTTGGGTTTTTTACTCTTTTAGGGTTTTTTTAGGCCTGGAGATGGGAACAGCCAAGGATTGGGATCTTCCAGGGTCCCACCGAGGGATCCCTGGGGTGGATTTTTTTGGGGAATGAGCTCAGCCAGAAAACCTGGAACTGTCTGTATTGGAATATCCCAATATCTGAATATGGGAATATCCAAATATTGGAATATCTGAATATGTGAATATCACAGTATCTGAATATGGGAATATTGGAATATCTGAATATCCAAATATCCAAATGTCTGAATATGGGAATATCAAAATACTGGAATATCCAAATATCCGAATATCCACATATTAGAATATCTGAATATCAAAAAATCTGAATATCAGAATATCTGAATGTCCAAATATCTGAAGATCCAAATGTTTGAGTATCTGAATATTGGAATATTCCAATATCCAAACATTGGAATATCCAAGTATTTGTGTTTATTAATGCATTTAATTGGGTATTTATTGGTGTGTGCATCTGGGTATTTGTGCACTTCTGTACTTCTACATTTGTTTATATATTTATATATAAGTTTATATATTTGTATATAAATTATTTTTATTTATTTTAAATTTTAATATTTATATGTAATTTATTTTAAATATACACTTATGCTTTTATACATTATTTATTTTTATATGTGTTTCTTTTTTTACATAATTATGCATTTCTGTATTCACGCATTCCCATCCCAGCCCAATCCCTGCTCCCCACGGGGGAATTCCCGACCCTTCCAGGCCACAGGGAAACACCCGGAGAATTCCTGGGATAATCCCCACCTGGGAAATTCCCCCCTCGGCCATTGGATCCCAGGAAAGAGGAACTTCATAGAAATTGCCCCAAACCCGGGGGTGCCAGACTTCTTTCCCACCCCCAAGGGGAGAATGGGAGATTTGGGATAAAAAAGGGGGGGAAATCCTGGAGGGTACACGGATTTGCCAGGAAAACCCCCCAAAATGGGATTAGAAATTAATTAGTCCCTTCCCAAATGAATTATTCCCGTTACAGGGAATGGTTTTATCCACTCCCTTTCCTTGTGGGAAGCAAAAAATTATTCCTAAAACAATTTGGGGTAAAATAGAAAAGTTTGGGATACAACTGATAGATTTGGGATAAATTTAAAAATAAATTTAAAACCCCCTTGGAACATTTTGAAACCACAGCGAGTGTGGTGTTACCAAACCCTAAAAGGGTGGGAAAAAAATCCCATTTTTTAGGGTTTTCTTTTTTACTTCTTCCCAAGTATTTCCGGTGATTGAGGAGTTTGTTCGGGATGTGAATGGATGCTCCCGAATTCCCGGGATTTTCCAGGGGATTGAGAGCGGAGCAGCTGCTCCGTGACCCGCGGCGACCCCGCTGACCCCAAAGCGACCCCGGCCCCACCCCGGAGCGCTCAGAAATGCAAAGTTGGGGTTTTGGGGAATTTGGGAAGAGTGGGAAGGGAGAGGGGAGGGGTTTTGTTGTCCAGAATGGGGGTTTTGGGGATAAAAAAGGGAAAATCGCATTTGGAGAGACTCGGCCCTAAAAGGGTCATGAATTCCCTTGGGATGGGAAGCCTTGGAAAGGTTTTGATCCCAAAAATCGATGGATTGGGGACCAAAAAAAAAAAAAAAGGGAGAATGCTCGGGGAGTGGAGATTCATCCCAAAATTCCTGGACTTGCCTGAATTCCCCGTTTTCCTTTTGGGGTGACACAGGAGAATCCTGTGGGAAGATCCCTCTTTTTGGGGAAAAACCTGGAAATCCTATGGAAAGGTCTCTCCTTTTGGGGGGGGAAGATGGGAATCCTGGGAAAAGGTGTCTCACTTTAGGGGGAAAATACGGGAATGCTGTGGAAATGTCCCTCTTTGGGGGAGAAACCAGGGAACTCAGTGGAAATTCTCTTCCTTTTGGGGAAAAACCTGAACTCCTATGGAAAGGCCTCTCATTTTAAGGGAAATATGGCAATCCGGTGGAAAAGTCACTCTTTTGGGGGAAAAATATGGGAATCGTGTGGAAAAGCCCATCTGTTCTTGTTGAAAGGGACATAAAAACCCATAAAATCCCGTCCCAGGGATCATCCCGGGGTTATTTTTACCCTAAAATAATCCGAATTTGGGACTTTCCCGCTCCCCGGCG